ACTCGAGGAGAACAAGAAAGAAAACGAGTTCAGTCAAAACCTGTTAAAAGATTGTCGAAAGGTCCAGATTTGCAATGAATCTACGCTTAAGTTGAAAAACCATCTAGGTATTTGGCCAACCAACTTGTTTGAGGAAAGGTCTAGGTTCTCCAATGATCTTGATCCCGCAAGAATTGTGGGAACTCAATAAGGTTGCAGGACCCCAATCGAGAACCCCAAATTCGGAACTTTAGTATGGCCATTATGGGTGAGCAATTGAAAATTGTTTGAAGAGAGAGAAATAATATGTAAATTTCTAGCTTATAAAAAGCATGTCCATATCCAGTGTGCCACTCAGATTATTTCCTTCAAGGTTAATCATTGAAGATTCGCGAGTCAAAGAGAGCGCTAGAATGGCCTTGGAATTGATTTCCTTCAAGTGCAAGCGACTGAGTTTTCGAGGTTCCTAATTTGAGAAGGGATTGTACCATTAATTCGTTTGAGCCAAATATAAAGAGTAAGATTTGTTAGGCTCATAACCAAGAGGAAATTCTCCAACTATATTGTTTTTGAAAGGCTTAAGGAAGTAAGTTTACTAACTTAGCCATCCATGAATATGAACGAGAATCTTGGCTTGAAAAATTGTTTACAGAAAGTTCCAGTTCTCTAAAGAAGAAAATTCCAATAGCAGTTGGCAACTCACCTAAATCCATTTGATTTAGTAAAGAAGCTGATCTTGGTAAGATTTCCAAGTGAAGGCGGAATCATCCAAAAAAACTGCAATTACTAATCCAAGATCTGTAAGGAATTAAGATTCCCTATTGAATATGGAATCTCACCGAAAATCCGGCTCCCAAGTCTCATTTCCTCGAGGGGGTGTTGTTTCAATTCTGGCAAGGAGCCATTGAGACCTTGCATTGAACGCATGCTGAGAACCGTAGGTTGGGTAATTGGAATATCTTTGTAGGGAATTACCTTGCAATTGGCACCCTTGAGAGATAAGTCGTCAACAAGATAAATTTGCCAAGATATCAGGTATGGGAGAAGAAATATTGACATACCAAGAGCTAGGACTTTGAGGTAGGTTAACTTCTCAACTAGGCTTCTTACCGGCTTTTGGAGCTTTAAGTTAAAATTAACGTTAAGTCAAGGGTCTCCAAATTTGAGAGCTCCAGGCCCTCCATGGTATTTGACCAGAAAAACTAGAATTATCAAGCTAAGATATGATAACCTGGAAAGGTTCTTGATTGCGGACGGGATTTGGAGCCATTGAAGTCATTATCACCAAGGCTAAGCCATTCGAGTGGACCAGGTGGAAGACTGCTACTAGAGTTGATGGAACCGTAGAGGTAGCTACTGGTGAGGTCAAGCTCGCCAAATGACCAGTAATCTCACTGCAGGTGACACCGTCCCATGAGCAGCAGTCTTATCAGCCTTCCAGGATACAACCTTGGGATAAGCAGAGCTCTATAGAAGCGAACTTATTGATAATTAGCTTTCCTTGAACTGTAACAAGGAAGAACGCTCATCATCAGGACAGAGTGGCTTCACAGAAGAAGTAAATGACAGGAGCTAAGATGAAATAATGAGAGCCAAAGAAGTAAGCGTATATGAGAAGAAACATGAGGATAAACCCATAATGGAAGTAAATAAATTAGATAATGTAGATCTGGTGTTGAAGCATTGTAGGAGAATGGAGATGAATTTATAGGCGGTTTACCATAATATCGTAAAAACAGCCCTGCGCAAATAACTTCAGCTTCATTATAGAAAGGGCCAAAGACTTGTTTGAGTCAAGTGGCCTGTGCCCTCAAAGTCAGCATGATAGTGATGGGTGTTTGGCTCCCTATTTTATCCATATTCCCAATCCTATTCTTCAAATAATGTTTGGCACACTATTCCAGAAATATTACCCTATTTTTTTAATTACTTTTAGACCCCATAAGGTTATTAATTTCACTAAATGCCCCCTGAATTTTTTTAAAAAAATTAACAAAACCCCCCCATCAACCCAACTTGTCAGATTCCGACAACCACCGTCGGTGATAGCCGGAATCTGTACAACGGCCTAAATTCCGACCATAAATGTTCGGAATTACACCGATCTGCCTTTGGCCAGATCCACCACGGATCTGGTCGGAAAAGGCCAGATCTGGCCATCGTTGACCGAAACGACGGCCACATCTTTGGCCTTTCTGACCGTCGACGGCCATAACAGGCCGTAGATCGGCCGAAAAGGCCATAATGATGCTTACGGCACAGATCCGATCGGTCTGTGCCGTAACGAAATTTTTCGGCCAGATTCCGGCGGTGGCGGCCGGATCTGACACTACAGGTGGTGGGAGTGTTTGTCATTTTATATAGTAGGTTCTTTAATTAATTAATATAAACCTAAGGGCTTTTTCAAATTTTTTAAATTTACCTCGTAATACTCCCTCTATCCAACAACAACTAATACTATCCTCAAAATCCTATCCAAATACTACACCAAACGCACCCATATTGTCTTAAATATTTAGTTAAACGTCAAGCTGCGTCCTTTCTCTCCCTTCCATTGACACTCAACGTAATGGCTGAGATGGGCACACCAAACTAACTAACCCAGAAATTGGCTTTTGGTGCTCCATTATGATTTTCGTTGAATTTCTACTACTGTCTACTCTACTTTTTCATTAAGGAGAAAACGAAAAAAATGATTAGACGTGCTTCTGACAGCCATGCAGCACGCTGAACCTACTCCTTCTTCAATTTTCATCTTCACTTTTCTGGGTTTTAAGCTTGTGTGGGTTTCTGTCTACTGTTAAGGATAGTTACTTAAATATTATTATTTTGTAATATGTTTCCACATACGATACCATTTTAAGCGTCAATGATTTCATAGCTCGACTTAATGAATAAGATCATCAGCCCAAGACTTAGTAATTATGGTTTAGTGAACTTCCAAATAACTGATTTTCCTAAAAGTTTCTAAAGCTAATGTGAACTGAAAGTATTGTGAACTTAACCCACCAAAAGCAGTATGAACTAAAACCTAAAAAGCAATAAACGAAAATAGCCTACAATTATCTCACCAACATATCTGACCTTCGTAAATTTTTTCAATAAGTTGTGGTAACAAAATTGATATCAAAACAATTATCTTTGAAACTCTTTTATAGCCTTACATTTTTTTTTTTTTTTATAACAATCGATATCCTGAATATCCTTTCCTTAGGTATGAGTTTTAGACTCAAAGGCATCTGTATAAAAAGCGTAATTAAGAGATTTGGAATAAGGGAATATATATATATATATGTATTTGGAATAAATCCGATAATAAAAAAGAATAAAAAAATAGAATCTATAAAGGGTAGCCCTTCCCTCAATAGAGCCTTGGACAACCCAAGGATCAAACTGAAAAAAACACAGGGCATAACATAGGAAAAGCAATCCCCTATAAGCTAAGCCCTATTAAAAAAAGGCCCAGACATAAGCCCTAGAACTAAATATACAACATTTTCATGTAAAGAAATGCTGCAAGCCCAAAAGCCTAAATAAACCCTCCAGCTCAAATGACACCAGCCCAGGGACATCACACACTGGTTAAAGAATTTTCCTCTGAACTTTCCAGAAAAAAAAAAACACCCCAAAGCCAGCAGAAGCGGCCTTCTTGCGGTACCAAATTCCACCAAAAAAAAAAAAAAAAAAGAAACTGCCCATTTAAGTCTTTATTCTTTGTCGTCTGATTGAACTTAACACGGCATATGTACATGATAGCTAGCTCTACCACAACAAGAAGTGCAAGACATCATAATATGAACCCCAAGCAGCCTTTAAAAAATACCAGCCAGAAAAGGACAAATGCAACCATCAACAAAAACTACAGCATAAAGTATCTCTCATGCAATGGCTGAAGATAATAAAATCAAACGTTTTCTGCTTTCCAAGCTCTCCCCGCAAAACCAAATCTCCAGGGCACTGCATACTCTTACCCAAAAAAACAATACACCAAAGATAATGCAGATGGCATCCGAGGTAGAGAATAATGTAACCCTAATAAAGAAAATATATAGATACACAATCAAAGATAGCCCCAACAATACTTGAGTTGTTATGGCCTAAATAAAGACCCAAAGAGTTTTGAGGCCCAATACAAGAAAGTGCTCACAATCTGCTCAATCATTGATGCCATGGACTGGATTTCTCTTATTTAGTTGAGCCATGTGTTTCACAGAGCAGTGATCACATGCCACTCTTGGATGGTGGCAATGGAAGGACAATAGGCCAAATTTGGCTCATTGGGTTGACCCCATTGGAACCATCATCATTTTTATGCTCTATCTTGTATAAGATGTTTGCATGAATCTATTTTCATGAGGAATAAATACTCAAGGATGAATTTTTATGCTTTGAATACATTGAATATTGATGTTGAGACTTGAGAGAGGAGCTCTGCAAAATTGAACTCTCTCTCAGCTTTATATACTTATTGATAACATTTTTAAGTACAACATTTTCTTAAGTACAAAAAATAAAAATAAAAACCATAATATATTTTGTTTCTGTGAACTCTGTTTCTCTCAATTGTTTTCATGAGTTTCCCCTCAAAAATCATCATAAGCTCTTCGTGTTTTCTTATTTGAAAAGCATGCTCAAGACCATAAAAAGCAAACTTATCGATAATTATGCTCTCCTTGAATTGCAACAAAGAAAAACCATCATCATTGTGACAAAGTGGCTGCACAACAGAAGTAAACTGAATAAGTAATGGTCCTTGCAACTTATTTGAACCGAGGTTCAAATTAAGAATGATTCCATGATGAGTCCAAAAACCATTTACGAGGTAGCAAAGTTGGATTTGAAGTTCATTAGATACTATACTTCCAATAATAGAAAGAATCAATCAAAAGAGAGAAAAATTTTACAATTGTAAAACTTTTCTAATTTTTTACTGCATCACATGCTGCTATAGAATCAACTAAATAAAAGATAGAATCTTGAACTTTGGCAACATTATTCATGAACATATTTGATAAGTACCAAATAAACCCTAATGTTAAAAATCTTGAAAAAATTCCATCCTAAAGTTAATGAAGATTGTTTTGTATCCGCAGGTTCAAAGAACAAGAAGTATCAACACATAAGACTCATCATCAAAAACATCAAAGGAACTTAGGCTTCTTCTTATGTGTAGTTGCATGGCTGGAGTCGACTTGAGTGAGACATAGTGACCCCTCAAAATCAGAGTATGGATAAAGTGGCACTTTCTTTGCTCACCTTTGAGTGGATGCACTGACCCTACTGGTGCCGCAGACCCCTCCAAATTGAGAGTTAAAGGCTCTTCTATATAAATATCATAACTCTGTGATGGAGCTGTGGGCGATGCTACCACCACTTGTGGGGATGAATGTTGTGATGTTATTACTTGTTCCATTGCCTTTTGTTGTATGCCAAGTCCTTTGCCTTGACCTTTGGCTGTACCTCGCCCTCTCACTGACAGAGATTAGTTTTGGTTGGCATTTGTGATATTAGAAGAGGTAGCCCTTCCATATTATTACCTTGTAAAGGAGATGGCGGTGCCATGGTTGTGGTAGGTGCTGTTATTGTCTCAAGGTGTCGAATCTCCCCAATCATTTGCAACACATGAGTGCACATAATCTGAATATCTATCAATGACTGCATAGCACTATCACTGGTAGGTAAAAGTACCAAGGGTTGTAATGCATTGATTGTGAATATTTGTCAAGCTATGGACCTTCTGTTCCAAACATAGAAATCCAATGAATATTGATTGCAAAGTAATACAGGATCAATAGTCAAATAACTTATAATAATTCATACCAGTAAATGTGACATCCCACTAGCAGGTTGAATTCGCTTATGAGGTTTTTGAGTGAGTGGGGTAATCAAACGATGAGTTATGCTTCTATACCACTTCATGTATGGATCATGATAATGCATAGTGCTATCCTTAGGCTCAATGGTAACTATACTCTTCTCTCCAACTGCCCATAACTTGATATATTGTTGATGATATGCCTTCCAGTTGTAATAATGTCTACCCCGTCTATCAATTGCATGAATTTTCACCTCACTATCACACTGCACAGGAATTCCTTGTTGGAGACCAAATTGGCGTAGAACTCTGTCGGGACGATGCCACTCAACAATATCAAAGCAAATAAGTGGAGCAGTTGTCCTCCATACATGCTGGTCTCTAACACATACATCTGCTGGGGACACAAGTAACTCATACGTGTATGGTTGCCACATCATTTGAATTTTGATGGGGAAGATCCACTTAAAAGTAGGCACTAGCACAACCATGTGCATCTCATCAAATGTACAAGATTATAAAAGAACACTTAGTCAAAAGTAAACCTGATCATATGTCTGTTGATCAAGCTGGTCTCGATAAAAAATCAATGCCCTCTGAGGGTTATCTCAACGGATGACAGGAGACCTCCATCTCTTCTAGAAGAAAACAGTTGTAAGACAACTAGGTATATTGAAAGCATATATTAATGAAGTAGTAGCTATACTACCTGCATCCTAATGGATCTGCAGGTAATTCTCCTGACTGACCATCTCAACTTATGAACTTGCACCTCATTCTTTACAGCTTCACACATCTGGAGCAACTGGATCCTACTCTTGGCAACAAATCTCTCAAGGTGACCAATATGCAAACGCTCCCATGCCCATAACTACAAGAATAAGAATTTACATAATATCAGAGAAAAAAAAAATATTATTATGCTCTATATGCTATTATACATACCTGTAACAACATTAGATGACAAGAAATTTCACTGGCCCCCTTCTTACTAGCCCGACAGAATTCACGATAAAGGTAGGCTAGTACAACACTACCCCAGCTAAATTTCCCAGCATACTTAAATCCCTTAGAAGAGGTAAGAATATCATGCACATCCAAACCAATTTATCTGCAAGAGAGAACCCCAATAAGCCTAAGATATATGCCTTAGCATAGCACTGCATAGTTACAGCATCAGCATCTAATGGCAGATGCTGGAAATAGCCTTCGTAACCATCTAAGCTTCAAGGTTGAACCATGAAGAACACTAGATGTTCTCACCCCTAACAACTCTTCACAGAGATTGTCCCATTGGAGGTTAGCACTACTAGTCACTGGATAACCATGTATACGAGGCCTAACATCACTGTTACAATTCTCACCCACAACAAAATGAAAGGTGTGTCTTTTGTCTCCATCTCTCAACCAATGCAGTGACCAAGGGCCAGTCAATTTGAATAAAACCAATTCTGTAGACCCCATAGAACCCACCTCGACACAAAATGATGAATATGGTGCCACTCCCGCATCATTGTCCCAATCTCTATCTACATGTTAAGACACCAGGGTCTCAATCAAAGTATTGCGTTGACTTCACTTTTCTTCACTTATTTTGTATTGAACCAATCACATAGCGGATGGCTAGAGAAGGACTCAAGGATTGATACTAACCTCTCCTGCCCAATGGCTTCAGATCTATGCTAGTCTTGCAACACAACACAAACTTGTCACTTAGCCCTGGGTCCAAAAAGGTATTAGGGTTGGCATTACATTTGTCCCGATTGACTACTATCTTTAAAAGAATTGTCACAACTCTTACTTTAAGCAAAGAAAATTAATCCTATGACATCAAGAAATTTATGTATATTTACCTGATTATCATAGCAGTCCGACATTATGACTTGATTATCCACATGGATTTGTGTTGTGACTTGGCTATCTATGCTTGCTGGTTCTCTTTCCAAATACATTCCAAACAATTTGTTCCAGGCTTTTGTGCCACATCAAATACAATTGTCTAAAGATCTCATCAGTAATGGGCACAAGTATGAATTCCTGACAAGCTGGATACCTGCATATGATCTTCTTTAATATGTTGCTGGTGAAACCAGTAATCTCATACATCTTTTCCAGCACTGATTATGTGTTGTTTCGTAGCTAACCCTTGTAGGCTTTGGGACGGCACCTTATAAGTAATGCCTTGTGCTCCATTTGTTATCCTCCCATTCCAGTAACACATTAGTGTGACATTTTCTCTAGCCATCTTCTACCATTCACTAATGCAACCATATCATGGTATAATATCAGCAGCGTCTATACAAAGCTACAATAATGCACATATATTTACAGAAAAAGGAAACAGAACAACAGTTATTCACCCTACAAAAGACGGTCCATCTACCATCATCGTAGATACACAAAATCTAGTTGATTTTGAATCCCGAAACCCTGCCTACCATTCTATCAGAAGTAACTCTTAGCCACTGATAGGGTGCTTTCAATGAACTTTCAAACCATTAAATTTTTGTCAACAAAGCTTACAATTTACAAAAGTTTATGCTAAATGAACATCTATCATTTCTTGCAAGCACAATCAAGATCATTATCTTTCATCAGCTTTATTCAAGTTGCATCACTTCCGTCAGTTCAATAAATGCGCAATTAACAAAGAAGCAATCTTAAGGCCTGGGTAATCCATTTAAACTACAAAACCAAATGGTTTCTGTTCACTGAGGCAAAATAACAAACAATTACAGTGCAAATGAACAACCAAAAGAAATTAATTTCTATTAATTCTTATCGGAAATACAAACTGGGATTACAAAAAGTATAATTCACACTGCGAAAATTACTTAAACTAGAATATTTTGATGTTTGATTTGAGTTAGTAATTTTGCCACTCAATTTCTCTCTGTTTGTTGTTTCCTCGAAAGAACCGCTGGCCATTTTCACGAGTTTATTCATTGATTAAAGGTTAAGCCGAGTATACACGTGGCGTTTTATTGAAAATTTAGTCACCGTATACTGTTTTAGCGGTTTGAAATAACGGTTAGAGGATCTTCAATTGTGCTCTTTATTTTGAAGATATCTTTAACATAAAAAAAATATCTTTATTAATTTTTAATAAAGATAAATTTTTTATTCAAATCTAATAGACTCTTTAAATTTAGAAAAGAATATGAGAGATAAATCATAAATAAGTACATAGAAACTTACAATTTTATTATTTAAAATTAGGATAAAGACTGAAATTTGACTCTCTAATGTAAAGAGTCAAATTCACTCTTTAATTTATATTTAAAGAATAAAGAGTTTGTTGGACTCTTATTTCTATGAATAACTCTTTATAATAAGAGTTTAGGTTATATAAGAGTCTATTGGATATGCTCTTAAAGACCGCTAGTTAATGTCGCAAAATGGCCGTTATAGGCCTCTTCATTTAAAATAAGTAAACAAATTTAAAAAGATTTTTTTTCTTATTAATAAGGGAATGCTTTGTACAAGTAATGTAACAACTGTCACACTACTAGTTTCACATTAATCTTTTTTTTTTTTTTTTTTTTTACAAACTAATGGTGTGACGGCTGTCACATCACTTTGTGTAAAAATTTTGTAAGAGTCTTTTATATATACATTTCTCTATTAATAAACTCTTAAGTCCTAAAGAGACATTAAAACTGATAATATTATAAGTAAATATTATAAATTGTTGTCTTCTTGTTTATCAACATGTAAATTATAAGAGAAATTTTTACTATTTTTAAACTTCATGAATATTTTAATTATTTTTACATCTTATGTTATGTAAACGTGTACACTCCATCCCAAAACACGTGTCTAATCTTTCAAACCACTTATTTCATTTTCTTGCATCGTATAAGGGCGAAACATAATTTTTTAAGATAATAATGTGCTCACAAATCCTTTTTATTAACCTTCTTTCACAAACTGATTGTTAGCAATTAATCTCGTTTACCCAATAACGAATCCTACTGATCAATTACGAGTAAATTAATTACAAACTATCACATCGTACTTATAGAAAAAAGTTAATAAAAAGGTTGTTAGTTTATCTTTATTGAATTTTTTAACAAAGTTTGTCGGGAGAGGATTGTACAAACGACGTCAAATGGCAGCAGCGAGGACGCCGTTTAACGGCATAACAAAGTGCGGTTCATTCACAGTACAAACAACCAAAGTGAGCAAGAGGCCGACACGAGCTCTCACTTCAGACTCTTCAGAGTTTGCCACACCATAATCGGGTGCTGGATAAGCCCACTCTCTCCAATCAAAATTCCTTAACTCAGACAACCATCTCTTCCTACTTGTTGACTGGTTATGCAGTTGGGAATAACAAACAAAGCTCAAAAGAATTGATCTCAAACGTTTTGTGCAGTTTGGTTGTTCCTCTGCTTTTTCCATGTTTTTTCTTAGATAAACTTTATCAGTAAAGTTTCAGATCAAGAGCATGTTCAGGTTCAAGAGCTCCATGCCTTATCAGAACTATTTTCCAACCAATTCATATAGAAACTTCGAGCCTGCAGGATCTTCTTCTTTCTTTGAGGGCGGAAAACTTTATTTTAGTTTTTGTAGTGCCCATTGCCCTGATCGGGGAGGTATTCATTTTGGTCTAGTACTAGGAAGGAATCCTTAATGACGCCTTATCTCTATGCAAAGCATAGAGGTATTCATATTACATATCTACCAGAAATTTCTGCTTTTTCTCAAAGCTTGTGATCATTTAGTTTTACATCTCAAATTGAGAATCCGAAGTAAAACTTTCTGGGATCAGCCCAAGTCCTGAAAAGGTTTCATCCTATGTTGGAAGATTGGATTTTGATTTAGAAAACTTCATTAGTTAGAATTCAATATCCCAACAAAACAAAAAAGAAAAACAAATCATAATTAAAAACCAAAAAAAAAAACAAAAAAAAACAAAAAAGTAGTGGAGCAGAAATATAGGCTCAGATTCACTCTTGAGTGGACACAACTTGAAAGTGAGTTCAATGGCTGCAACATGGAGATGTATCCGGGTTGCCCCGCCAAGAAATGGGTCTCCAAGAAAGAGCCCAACACAAAGCAGAAACTTCATCACAGCCTCATTGCATTCACCTCTGAGAAAGAGAGAGAGACTTGGGATATTTATAATGAATTATTTGAAGCAAAGAGGTCTTTTGGTACATATGCATAAATGATCACACATACATAGAGAGAGAGAGAGAGAGATCGGCCATTCACTATAGCCTTAATCTGAAGAGTGTCATTACTTTGCCAGAAACCCCAGAAAAAAGAGGCTCAGATTCGCCTTTATCGACCAAGATCAAAACTTTACCACCATGGCTGAAGCAACGAGCACTTCTCAAAAATACCCAGAAGCCGCCTCGCCATGATAAGCAGGGATTCCCCACCGTCGGATCATTTCACATAGAAAACACCGTCATCATCACAGCCTCGTCACAGAGACAGAGAGAGATCAGAGCGTGTTGTGTTTGTGTTGTGTTGGGAAGCTGAGAATGGTGATGTTGCTGTTGGTGATGATGGGTAACCTTGCTGGTGCAAATCACTGGCTTCACTAACAAATCAAAGGGAAGGGACAATGACCCTTCGAGAGCAAAGCCTCATTCTTAAAGTAATGACCCTTCGAGAGTAAATTGTCGTCAAGGCAAACTTCCGGAGGAAAGAAGATGTCGTTCGGCCGTTTGGAAACCCCAAAAGGCAAAAACTTCGGTGAATTGGTGTGATGTATTTATGCTTGGTGGAACTTGGTTGGTTTGTTATTCCCAATTTACCCTTGTGTTAGTTCTGTTGCGTTATTACCAATTTACCCTTGGGTCGATTCCAAATATCTGAGTCACCTGCTAGTTACATACGTTCATACTATTTGTCTATTTCCCCGCTGTTCGCATGGGTTCCAAAAATCAACTAGAGTTTCCACTCATGGGTTCCAAAGACGAATTAGTGATTCCAGTCTTGAATTCTATGGATCAATCAGAGCTTCCACCCCTTTTCGTGAAACTTTCTTTTGACAAGAGCTCGCTTGCTCAAGCGGTACTTACACTCAAACCAAAGAAACGTTCGCTTTGAAAAATGTTTGGTAGAGCGATTTCTTTAAAGAATTTTAAATGGTTTATTTATTTATTTTTGCTACATTTTGAATAGTTCAGAATTGAGAATTTTCAGCCATGTGTTTAATATTTCTACCGTCTCTTGGCATGCAGAAAATGGGGCCGCTTGCGTTTCCTGTTTGTTTAACTTTGTTTGTTTGGGTGATCTTTGGTTTTGTATGAAAGAAGTGTGAAGATTGTATCGACTGCAATTTGCTTTGACTCGAGCTTGTTTTTAGGCATTAATCTGTGTGGCACTAGTGAAGACACAATGGAATCAGTATTATCAACTATTGTTAGCGCTCAATTTTGTTTCTTTGCTGCTTCAGATTTGGCAGGTCTGGAGTTTGATTGAAATGATTAATCGAAGTTTTGGTTCAGGGGAAGAAGGATGGTTTGAGAAGAAGCAGCTTGATGTTAAGAAAGTTGAGAATGAGAAGGCAACTTGGAATTACTACTTGCAATGTTGGTTAGAGGTAATTTTGTTTCTTCTTCTGCAAATTTGATCATAAATGAATGAAATTCATCTTATTTTCTGGTTTGTTTCAAGAACAAGATAAGTGATTCACATTAAGACAAACACTGATTGGTATTATGATGGACTGATAACAGCAAATGATTAACAATGGAAGAGAATGACTGATGTATTACTGTTCGAATGTTGTATCACCAATCCTTTTGAGACAATGTAGGCGAACCCTACATCGAATTATTGTATGGTATAATCTTATAACTTTTTCTCTTATTCTTTCTTTCAGGCTTTTTACAAACCACCTTTCGTAGTGTGTCAAGCCATTGCTTTCTTCATCATCTATTTAGTGTCATTTGTGATTGTCACATTTATACTTGACAATAAGAATCGGCTGTCATTCTCTATCCAGAAACCTAGTCCAGCTCCCACTTAAGGTGACTCTTGGTGGTGATTTCATTGACAGTTGATCCTTCTTTGTGTAGCACCTACCGAACATCTGTACTGACATCAAGATTACTATCAATTCCATATTTTTGTACATATTTTGTAATGCAGAACACAATTAGATCATGAGAATAAACTGAACACTTCAATTTTTAGCTGTTTCTTATCTACTTGACCCTTATTTACTGTGTTGAGAGCCAATATGAGAATGCATTTCACTTAGCAAGTATTTGTATTAATGTATTCATGTCCATAACCACATGGTTAACTTCAGCCATCAAGCGTTGAAACTACTGCATTCTCATGTTGAAAATTGGATTTTATTTCAGCAATTCAAGCGTTCTCTGAGAACTTGAGAAATTTAGTCCCTTTCCAAGCTTACAAGAGAAAAACAAAACCAAATTAGAGCATATAAATGCAGGCTCAAGTTCAGCCTTGAGCAAACACAGCTTGAAACTGGAACCCTGAGGAGCTCAATGGCTGCCCACATGGAGAACGGGTCTCCAAGGGCCCAACTCAAACCAGCCTCATTACACATTTTCATTCACTTCTGAAAAACGTGTTACTTTTGCTATAACCCCAGAAAAAAAAAATATCAGTAATGACGCAAAACCCCCTATTGTCAAATAGTTTTCGAGGCCAAAGCCATTCAGAGAATGGAGCTCTTGCTGCTTTCTGCCCTCAAATGGAAGATGCATCTTGTGACTCCTCTTTCATTTCTTGATCATATCATAAGGAGGCTTGGATTGAAGAACAATCTCCACTGGGAATTTCTCCGGAGATGTGAGCGTCTCCTCCTCATTGTTGTCTCTGATAAGAATTAATAACACGGTTCATTCAAGTTCTTATCTTGACAATAATAACTTAGATCTTTCGATGAGAACAAAGAAATAAATCAAGAAAAGATACAGTCTGTTTTCGATACATGAAGTAAAGTAACATTTTTCGTTTTGATTATTTTTGTTAGAATCAAGATTCATGGAGTCATAGAACTCGCAACTTATGTAGGAGGAATGGGCGTAGACGGCATTGTAACAGAGTTTTGAATAAAATCATGATTACTTGCAACCAATAAACAAATATTTATTCACTATACTTACTTTAAAAAATTGCAGGAAGCCCATGTTCTGACCTCAATGCTGATCTGCCTTATACAATTTTACCCATTACACCTGGGGATATGCTTAGTATAATACCTGAACCAGTACAGCCGCCGACAAGGGCCCCAAGCCCATCCTTGAATATAGCAGATATCGTTGACCCACCATTACCTGCCGTGCCAACGGCTCCACTCCAGATGATACTGAGTTCGACTTCAGGTCTAGTTCTACCAGTGGTCCTCCTGTTCTTGCACCAATTTCAAGTGACAAAACCAATGTTGCCAACATTGGAGTTTCTCTAGTGGCAGTAATGTTGCTATGTTTGCTCTCCATGTGATATTAAAAATGTTGGTTACTAAAACACAGACTTATTATTTGTTCTATTAGCTGATTGTATAAATATTGTTGCAGAAATAGTGGCATTCAGGATTCAGCTAAGTCAAATTTATAACTTCATCAACTCAAAATCAATATATTTTCAAAACCAAAATGCTTGAGAATTTGGTGAAATGTCAAAATTCTCCAAATCAGCGTGAGAAATTTGACATTTCACCACTATTTATACTTGTAAGAAAGTAGTCCCCGGCAAAGCAACTCATTACTTATCTTCAAGTTCTGTTCATGGGCATCCCCAGAAAATGATTTGTTTTTTAAGATGCTTGAGTCCACGCAGCCTCCATTTAGAGACAGGAATAAGTCTTTCACAATAAGCTACATATTGTGCTTTCAAATTTGAGGGCGATGCAAACTTGAATAATTGGGAAGAGACTTCAGACGGTAAAATGACAAAATTAAAAGAGACTTCAGGCTGGTATTGGGTAACCCTTCTTCTGGGAAAGCCACAAGTCTAGAGCAATTACCTAATGACAGTGGCTCGAGATTCTTGAGGCTGAACAATAGTGACACAACCCATCCCGACCCCTCCTATCACACAGGATCCGGGCGCTCCCAAGAGAATTGGGTGACCAAGACGTGCCGTGTGAAAAACCTGTGAAAATCTGTTTTTTCTCTGAATAAAACCCACATATCAATAATATTTATTCCCATAAATACATAAATAAAGTAGACGTGTTATTGGAAATCTGAAAACAATATGTCATGAGCAACTTGAAAAAAAGTCTAGAAACATAGAGTAAAATACATGGAAATAGAACACACTTGAAATCCGGAAATAAGAACATAACTGTTTTTGACAATGTCTAAAAAATCAGTCGGTTACATAAAATATAAAACTTGCCCTCAAAACAAAAACAAAATACACGAGAAATCTGGAGATGCGTGGCACAACCCTAAGCGGAAAACTCACTGTTCGGCATGATTGTCCTGGGAACCTGAGGGGGGGAAAAGCATTTCCAAAATGGGGTTAGTTGAAATACTCAGCAAGTGGGAGATTGGGATAAATCATTTGTCAAAACATTTTCAAAAAGCATGTATATAACAGTCTCAGATTTATGAAAAAAGAAACTATGCTCAATGAATATCATGTACTCTTCAAAAATACTAAAACATGCAATTAAACACATCAAGAAAATTCTGAAAACAATGTTCTATGTATATCCAACAATTATCTTAACAATGCTTATGAGCTTAAACTCTAACCATGTAATAGTTGTTTTCTAAATACTGTCCTTAAACTAAAACTGATTATGATACTAACTTCGAATCTGGAACTGAAAACTCTCACCACAACTAGTATCCGGGGAAAATATCTCAAAACCAGGTGGGCATCCCACATACACGCAGAGCTAGGAAAATCTCTCAATACCTGGCAAGATCTATCATCGCGCGGTCAAAGCCTGAAGAAAACTATCTCAATACCTGGCGGACACTGACATCCAGACAGAGGACTAATATATCTCAATACACGTGTAGAGCTTGAAGACCTAATATCTCAATACCAAGTGGAACCCTACATCGCATGGACAGAGCCTAAAGTTTGTAATCTGGGGGGTGGATACTTCGCCAGGTGGTTTCAAAACCACAACAATACTTAAATATCATCTAATAATGTCCTTATCATGGAAGCATATGACTTACTTCACTTAAATAACATGCAATCTAAAAAATGTCAATTATGGGGTTGAGACTGCAAATTTTTAAACATGTTTCAAAACTGACATTTTAACCCATTTGTGTTTTTCCTTCAATCAATTTACCAAAGATATCAAAATTCCACTTATTCATGCCTTAACCTTCAACATTTGCTGCCATATATATATATATATATATATTTTCTTCAACTACTCTTCACACAACATCAGCCACAACTCATTTCTACCAAATAAAACAACATTTCAATTATTCAATTCACACATAATTTCCAAGTGATTGAAAGGCAATAACTTAAAAGTAACATGCAAGCTTAAAAACTCAATCTTTAGTAAAGGATTTTGTGCAATTCCCACTCAGTCTTTGGTTAGCAAAACTATCTCCAAATTAAGCCAGCAACCCATTTTTGAAGAACAAAACACCAAATGCACCCTTATACACCTATAACACCTATATGTGTATAAAAATAAAGAAAAGAGTTAATTATATGATAAAGTCTCATTCTAAATAAATATATATTCCATTCAACAATTTAATAAGCCAACACCAACATTTCCCGTTACCAAAACTCCGCATAATATAAATTTTCTGCACCCTTCAACATAAGCCGAACCCAACTCCTCTCAATAGTGCCAATGACACCCCAAATCAAGCAGCCATCAACATCAAATTTCATAAGACAGCCATATACATAAATTTAAATAACATGCAGCATGAAAACTCATTACTTTGGAACAAGATCTAATTCATTATCACCCAAAAATTGGCTCAGCCGAAACATGCAAGATAAGGTTTAGCAAATAAAATAATTAACTCAAGATTTTGCACCCAAAACATTAGAATAGGAATAAATAACTTGATATATGCAAACAGGAATTAAGTTTTTAAAACACTTTTTGGTTAATCCACTCACAAAAAAATTCAGCTCAACCCGAAATGCCCAGCTGCCTCAAGCATCATCCTTCTCTTCACCTGACAAACCAAATTGACAAAATTGAATTAGAATTACACAAATTGAAGAAATGGTGAGATGACTCACTCTAAAAACTACATGCATGACACAATTTCTGCAAAAAATTCGTGTGATCTCCCTTCATCTTTACTTGGCCAACACTTACCTCACTTTCCCTCCCTCATTTGTCTTTTTCTTTCCCTTTTTCTCTCCTCTTCCCTTCCTCCTCTCGGCCGAACGTTCTATCTTCCTTCTTTCTTCTTTTCTCCCTTCTCTCTCTTCCCTTCTCTCTTTCTTTTCTTCTCAGTTTTCTTCTTTCTTCACCCGGGCAAAAATCAGCCCTTTTTATAATTTAAACTTTCCAAAAGTTTTAAAATTCACCCTTGAATTCTCTTATTTCTAATGTAACCCCGTAACATCAGCTTTTTCTCCAAAAATGTCTAGTTTTCTCCCCTTCGTTAATGCAAACCCAACATTTCCATTCTTTCGTTTTCAGCCCCGACGAAACTTTAAAATGTGACTGAAATGCCCTTTCTGAAAAACAAAACCACAAAATATACACATAATCTATAAGAATTAAAAAAGGGGTTTTACAAATAATGTGTTACATGTTAAAATTACTTAGTGAGCTATTATTGGGGAGGTTGAACAATAATGTCTGCATATAAACTGGAGTATCAAATTTCCTCCACCTTCTGGTGACACTTTCTTTTGACAAGAACAAGCTCAATGATGGGGTACTTACACTACAACAAATTCAATTTTGCCTTTTAGTTCTTGGAGTGAGACGCTATGCTTAAGCTTTCAAGGTTTAAATTTCCAAACCTGGTTTGGGGCAAGAACTTAACAAATTAAAGCGAGCAATCATAGAATCTATGGCAACAAAATGTAAAGACACTGCTAGAAGAAAAAATGACTACGTGAAAAAGTAGATGATCCTTAAGGCTACATTTATTAACTCTGTGAACAAAAAATAAATAAAGCTACTTACATCGTGCTTCTGTGAGCTCTCTTTCTCCCGAATGTATTCATGAGCTTCCTTTCGAAAATCTTCATGAACAATACCTTTATCCTTGGAGAAAAAGCATGCTCAAGAGCCACTCCAGCAATTATCCCACTTGCAAACCCTGTTAGAACTATTTTCCAACCAAATTCAAGTGGAAACTTCGAGCCTGCAGGATTTCCTTCTTTTTCTGAAGGCTGAGAATCTTCACATTTTTTTGCTATCTGCTTTCCACACAATCCTGGGTTCCCATCAAACGAAAAACTCTCAAATGTATCAAATTGTTTTCCTTGTGGTATGCGACCAGTGAGATGATTATTTGAGACATTGAAGTATGAAAGGAATGTGAGGTCTTCCAGTTGTTGAGGAATCTGTCCTGAGAGCTTGTTATTGGAAAGGTCCAATGATTCCAACTCTGTTAGGTTTGCCATGGATGGTGGGATGGAGCCTTTGAGATTATTGTTCGAAAGAGCAAGAAAATGAAACCCTTTTAAATTTGCAATGGATGCTGGAATCTGTCCTTCAAATTTGTTGCTCGAGAAAATAATGGTTGTGAGGAGATTTGAGATCCTTCTGTACTCCAACTCTATGCCTTTGGTACTCAATTGCATTGAGTAACCATAAATCAATGGTAAAAGATCAATCCTCTCATCAATACCTGTGTCGAGTTCACCAAACACCTGATCTTGCATATATGTTAGTGAGCTTCCATTGACAACTTTCATGGCATCCCAAGATTGAAAGTATTTTGATGGAAGATGACCTGTAAATCTATTATGGGAGATATCGATGATTTGTAGTTTCGGAAAAGCATAGTTTGTTTCAGGCTCTTTTATGGCACCCCTTAATCTATTAGATTGTAAGATAAGGACTTTTAAATTTGGAAGAGTTTCCAACCAAGATGGAAAAGTATCACTGATTTGATTGTTTCCAAGATCAAGAAATTCTAGCTTTGTACAACTGGCCAGTGATCTCGGAATTTTCCCTTGTAATTGATTTTGGCTTAAATTGATCATCTCCAAGTTTTCTCCATTCACAAAGTTTTCAGGAATACCTCCACTAAAGTTGTTATTTTTCAGATTTAGTAGTTCTAGGAAATGACTGAAATTTCCCAAACACTGTGGAAGCTTGCCACTTAAGTTGTTGTGAGATAGATCGAGAATTTCCAACTGATTCAAATTGCATAAAGCTGGTGGAATTTCCCCCGTCAGATTATTGTACGAAGCTAAATAACGCCAGGTGGATAGTGGGGGAACTGGAAGTGGTCCTTGAAACTTATTTAAACTTAAGTCTAAACTTCCTAGTCGAGTCCATGAAAAACTAAGAGGATGTTGGTCAAAGCCCGTTAAAAGATTGTTGGAAAGGTTCAGGTTTAGCAAAACCACACTTGAATTCAAAAACCATCCAGGTATTTGGCCAGCTATCTTGTTTGAGGAAAGGTCTAGAATCTCTAATTGATCTTGGTTCTGCAAGAAATTTGGGAACTCAATAAGGTTGCACGACCGCAATTGGAGAACTGAAAGTTTTGGAAATTTTGTATGAACTTTGGTGTCGGTGAGCAACGATAAATTGTTTGAGGAAAGAATTAAAAATTTTAAACTTCTGAGTTTATAAAAAAGCATGTTCATATCTACTGTGCTATTCAGATTATTTGAAGCGAGGTCAAGCGCAAGAAGATTCTCGAGGTCATAGAGAGCGATAGGAAATGCGCCTTGCAATATATTTGAACCAAGTGCAAGAACCTGCAGTTGCATTAGGTTTCTAATTTGAGAAGGGATATTGCCAATCAAACGATTAGATGACAATGATAGTTGCGTTAATTGGCTGAGGTTCATAAGCCAATATGGAATAGGACCCTTTAATTCATTCTGGCTCATATATAAATGAGTAAGATGTGTTAGGTTCATGAGCCAAGAGGGAATTTCACCAAACAAGTTGACTTGTGAAAGGCCTAAGTAAGTAAGTTTACTATACTTGGCCATCCACGACAACGAACGAGAATCTTGGCTTGAAAAAGTGTTATGCGAAAGGTCCAGTTCTTGTAAAGAAGATGGATTTCCAATAGAGGTAGCTATGGTGAGGTCAAGCTCGATCAAATGACCAGTAATCTCACTGGTGACACCGCCCATGAGCAGCAGTCTTTATCAGCCTTCCAGGATACAACCTGGGATAAGCAGAAGGCTCTATAGAAGCGAACTTATTGATAATTAGGCTTTCCTTGAACTGTAACAAGGAAGAACGCTCATCATCATGACAGAGTGGCTCACAGAAGAAGTAAAATGAGCAAGGAGCGTAAGATGAAATAATGAGAGCCAAAGAAGTAAGCGTATAAATGAGAAGAAACATGAGGATAAACCCATAATGCAAGTAAATAAATTAGATAATGTAGATCTGGTGCTGAAGCATTGTAGGAAAATGGAGATGAATTTATAGGCGGTTTTCAAATATTATCGTAAAAACAGCCCCATTGAAAATAACTTCAGCAATATAGAAAGGGCAAAGACTTGTTTGAGTCAAGTGGCCTGTGGCCCTCAAGAGTCAGCATGATAGTGATATTGTCTAATAAATTTAGTTAAACGTTAGCTGATCCTTTCTCCTTCCCTTCCATTGACAGTTCAACGTAATGACTGAGATGGGCACACCAATGATAATGATAATGACTTTTTGCTCAAGATTGGAGGAACGTATAAGATGGGTCGAACTTGTAAATCAATTGAAAGCTCAAGATGGTGTCATAGACAATAATGTAAAACAAGAGGAAGTGGACAAAGTATCAGAAGGGCAAACGTATAGAAGGAGGTCTTGCTCAAAGTGGAGGAACATTTAAGAAGGGACAAACGTAAAAGAAGGGCCAAAGGCTTTTTTTGCTTCTATGGCTCCAAAAGTCAGCATGACCGTAGACTTGGTTTCTCCGCAATTAACGAGAAAATGAGAGCCATTGCCTTGACCGCCGCTGGAACAGTTGCATGTTTTTTATTTTTCAGTTGAAAATTCTGTACGGAAAGTGTGTAAACAAAAGACTACTATTTTCCTTTGTTATGTATGAAAATGACATTTAGCTTAATTTCTACTACGTTCTACTCTAGGACGAAAAGCTTTTTTCCTGCACCACACACTGTCTACTTTAGAAAATTGTCATTTTGTTAATCACAGCTTCAGTTCAATTAGAAAACCCAATTGATCAATCATACCCACTAGAATTCTAACCTATTTTGTACAAAACCTTTTTTGTGTCTCCCAGTGAGAATTTTCTAGTAAACTTGAGAAATTGAACGAATAATAGAGAGAACTTGATCTAGCGCTCAAATTGTACCACTTTTCATTAAGGAGAAAACGAAAACAATGAAACAATACTTCCGTAAAACTTGGCAAGATTAGACTGCTTGACAGCCATGCAACACGCTGAACCTGCTCCCTTCTTCAATTTTTAAGTGTTCACTTCTCTGGGTTTTAAGCTTTCTGGGTTTGGGTATACTATGAAGAACAGTTACTTGAAATACATTATTTAGTAATATGTTTCTACATACGGTACCATTTTAAGTGTCAATTGATTCACAGCTCGACGTAATGATAAGATCGGCAAGCCCAAGACTTAGGAGTCATGGTTCAGTGAACTTCCGGATAACTGATTTTCATGAAAGTTTCAAGTTACCATGTGAAAATTTATCTCACTGCCAAAAAAAAACCCCAAAACCAGCAGAAGGGGCTTTACGGTACCAAATTCCACAAAAAAAAAAAAAAAAACTGCCCAAATTGGCCTAGGCCAGTGGCAGCTGGACCCAAATTTGGCTCACTGGGTTGACCCCATTGAACCATCACATCACTTTTTGCTCTATCTGTATAAGATGTTTGCATGATATTTTCAGAGGAAAAATACTCGAGGATGATTTTTTTTTGCTTTGAATCCATTGAATACTGATGTTGAGAGGGACTCTGCAAATTTGACATCTCTCTCAGCTTTATATACTTATTGATAAAATTTCTTGAACGTGCCATCTCAATTTAAATTTTGTCCAAACACTCAATACAATTGACTTATACTTTTGGCTCTAATCCATACACACGCTAGTGCTACAAAACAAATGCAAATTTGGCTCAAATTGAGAATCCAAAAAGAACCCTCTTGACTCATCTCAGTCTTGAAAGATTTCATCCATATGTTGAAATAGATTGGATTTAATTTAGAATACCAGAAAAAATGAAACTCCTTCAAAGCTTAGTTGCTAAGAATTCAATTTGGCAACAGTACAAAAAAACCTCACTGAAATCAAAGGGAAGGGAGGGTGACCCTTGAGAACAAAGCCTATTCTTAAACTACAGAGTTTGGAGATATTTATTTATGTGTATCGGACCCTTCGTTCTTGTTCTTTGTGGTTTAGTGGAAAACTTTTTTTTTGCACTTGTTTCAATACAATCAGTTTTAGATAATCTTTGTATATAATATTGTTAATAATCGATAATGAGATTATATCCGTTAATATGAGTGAAATATTGCAATACTGATGGTTGTTGGAGTTGTCGACTACTTAGCATTAATGGGTAACGGAGACGCATCGGGGGTCCCGCTGACAGGTCAGCGGGCGGGGTGCTCCCGGTGAGAGCGGGCGAGGGTCGCGGGGTAGCGCCCCCGAGCTCGTAGGCGGTTTTGGGCTTTTTCATGTATAACCACTGTAGGATTCCTTTTAAGTTATTAATTCCTTTTGGGTTGGGCTTAGGAATAGGAATTCTTGTAAAATGGTTTAATCTCTTAAACCTAGTATAAAACATTTTTTCTCTTGTTATGAGTGTGAGAGCATTCATTCATTGTAAACGAGAGAGGTGAGGATATTTCAATATATTGACTCAGCTGGACGTAGCTCATATTGGGTGAACCAGGGTAAATCGCGTATAATTTTTGTTTACTGTTTGTTTTGACTATTATTATTTTGTTTCCTGTTGCTTCTATTCGTTCAATGGTAAACCACCTTAGTATGAGTGTACAATACAATCGACCGCCGAAAAGTAGTCTCATCAGACAAACAACTGCTTTATCATTTGTTAATTTACTGCATAGTTCTCAGTTTTATCTTGTATCTAAATCTCTTTATTTTAGAAGAGTTTAGTTTAGGATAGATAAAACTTGAGCAATTCACGGATAACAGAGAGAACTTGATCTAGCTGAAATTGTACTACTTTTCATTAAAGAGAAAACGAAAACAGTGTAAATAAATACTTCCGTAAACTTGGCAATGATTAGACGTGCTTTTAACAGCCAAGCAACACACTGAACCTGCTTTCTTCTTCAATTTTCAGTCTGCACTTTTCTGGGTTTTAAGCTTAAAACCCCTGTTTTTTTTGTTCTTTCTTCAACGTTTCTGGTTGGTGTTTGTTGATGGAACGCGCGTATAACTGAACTAAAAACGCTGCGTTTCAGTTAAGCATTTTACACCATCCAGCATTCGTTAACACTCGTAAGACTAATCTGAACTACGTAATGGAAACCGTTTAAGTGAATTTCGAAGACCAGAATTACGTCTGCTCCTTTGTTCCTGTATACCAGAGCTTATCTACCTTTTAATCTTCTTCTTTATTAGCAACATGCCCCAGAGGCGGAACTAACCAGAAAGTTTCAGTTGCAACAACATCGCCCCTCAAATTAGACGCTGAGATAAGATTTAACTTGCTACGAAGTGTACAAAACCTGGCTGCAGAAAGAGGCTTGGTTAAAATATCAACTGTTTGATTTTCAGTACCTACATACTGAACTACTAGGTCTTGCTGGTTACTACTCTCTGACATACTGCACTTCAATCTCAATGTGCTTGGTACTGGTACAAAACACAGATTAGATGACAAAGAACCAGCACTGAGATTGTCGCACCATAAGATTGGAACAAAATTGCTTGATATCCTTAACTCTTGAAACAAATTCTTATCCAACCAACTCAGTTGATGCTTGAGCCAAGGCTCGATACTCAGCTTCGGTGGAACTCACTGCAACTACTTTCTGTTTTCTTGAAGCCCAACTAATGAGATTTCCTTCAAGAATTTGCAGTACCATAGTGGATTTTTTATCCATTAGATCACAAGCTCAATCTGCAACAGCAAATCCTTCAAGGAGTAGTCTGAAGCTAAGTGTGAACATAATTCCATAATTAATTGATCCCTGAATATATTTCAAAACTCTTTTACAAGCAGTCAAGTGTGCAGTGTGCTTCAGTAGGGCTTTGGCCGATCTATGGTGCCGATGGTGGTGGCTGGGATTTGCCCAACTCATAAGGGTGCGATGGATAAGTTTCCATCTTCTGGGAGGTTTTTGATATTTCAGGGAGGTTCTGATATTAGGGTGGGAATTGACAATTTGTGAAACCATGTGGGAACTTGCAAGGTCGCCAAACCTTGGGTGGAAAAATGTCGTTTACTCTTAATAATAATAATAAAAACAGAATTTATAGTCATTTCCTTTCTCCTTCTCCTTTAATTGATGGCTGAACATAATGAATGCAATTGGAAGACCAAGACTTTAGAGCCTATTTGATTTCATCACTTAAACAATTAGAGTAATATTTGGTTTGTTTCTATCAGACCGAATTTTCAATGCTAGAGCACTTATATTAAAAAGTAAAAAGAGCCTCACTTTTATCTCAAGTTTGAATGGGATTATACAACACTTAATCTAAATACCAAAAATCCCCCCAGAGAAATCGGATCATATTATTAGGGCCAATAATTGATTTTCATTGAAAAAGTATGAACAAATCCTCAAATATGGGGACGAAGTTACCACAACAATCTGCTCAACCATTGATGCATGGGCCGGATTTCTCTCGTAAATTGAGCCAGTGTGTCACAAGAGCAGCAATCACATCCACTCTTGATGGTAGTGGAAGGATAACAGGCCTAGGCCAGAGGTAGCTGGTCCCAAATTTGTCATTGGGTTTACCCGCCATATGAACCATCATCATTTATGTCTATCTTGTATAGATGCTTGCATGAATCTATTTTCATGAGGAATAAATGCTCGAGGATGAATTTTTATGCTTTGAATACATATATTGATGTTGAGAGAGGAACTCTGCAAATTTGAAGGCTCTCTAGCTTTATGTACTATTGACAACATTTTTAGTATAAGATTTTCTTGACCATTGCCATCCCATTTCAATTTTGTCAAACCGATCAATCAATTGACTTACAGTTTTGGCCCCAATCATGCCAGTGCATAAAAACAATGCAAATTTGGCTCAAATTGAGAATTCAAAAAGAACCCTTGACTCAGCTTCATGTCTGAAATATTTCATCCATATGTTAAAACGGATTGGATTTTAATTTAGAATACCACATAAATTGAATCTCTTTCAAAGCTTACTCTGCAAAGAATTCAATTTGGCAATGTTGGAGTCCCACACCTATAGATATGCTCAAGCCCATTGGTTTACAAGAGGGGTAATCCTCCTATTCAATAAGGCCTTATGGGTGAGGGACCAGACTCACCTCAGATTCTATATGTTACAAAGCAAGGCCCAGTTGAGTGAGTGCTTGACTAGTGGGTGAGGAGTTAGAGCGGAATTAGAGCCAACAACTACCTCCATCAATAGACTAAACCAACATATGTGTTGACCGTGAGAGGAGGGGGGGGGGGGGGGTTGGATTCCTACACTGACTAGACACGCTCAAAGCTGGTTTATAAGAGGGGAATCCTCCCATTCAACAAGGCCAACATGACCCAACATATGGGCTTGACTCTCTCACTGACTGACACGTCAAGCCTGCTGGTTTATAAGAGGGGCAATCCTCCATCAACAAGGCCAGTATGACCCAACATATGGGCTTGACTCTCCCACACTGACTAGACACACTCAAGCTGCTGGTTTATAGAGGGATAATCCTTCTATCAACAAGGCCAACATGACCAGGATGGCAAGTACTAGAGAGGTGAGTTCGATCAAATGACCAATAATCTCATTGCAGGTGACACCGTCCCATGAGCAGCAATCTTTATGGGAATTCCAGGATGAAACCTTCGGACAAGCAGAAGGATAAGAAGAAGCTTACTTATTGATAATTAGACTTTCCTTGAACTGCAACAAGGAAGAATGCTTGTCACGTGACAGAGTGGTTGCACAAAAGAGTGCAGTGAACAAGTACTGTAAAATAAAGGAATAAGAGCCAAAGAAGTAAGCGTATAAATGAGAAGAAACATAAGGATAACCCCATAATAGGTAACTAGATTAGATAATGAAGAGCTTGTACTTAAGCATTGTAGGAGAATTGCGATGAATTTATAGGCAGGTCTTAACATACAATATGTATGTCTTGCTCAAACCTAAACACGCATAAGACTGTCAAAGACTTGTGAAATCAAATGATTAACTTAAGATTGAACGAAATAGAGAAGCAACAGGAACAAAATAATAATAATTAAACAAAACAAACAGTAAACCAAGAAAGTAATACGCGCGATTTACCCTGGTTCACCCAATGTGGCTACGTCCAGCTGAGTCAATATTGCAATATGCCTCACCTCTCTCGTTTACAATGATGAATTGTTCTCGACACATAACAAGAAAAGTATGTTTATAACTAGGTTTAAGAGATTAAACCTAGTTTTACAGAATTCCTATTCCTAAGCCCAACCCAAAAAGGAATTAATAACTTAAAAGGAATCCTACAGCGGTTATACATGGAAAAGCCAAAACCGCCTACGGGCTCAGGGGTGTGCCCCGCGACCCGCCGTCACCGGGGAGCGGGGCACCACCGCTGACCGGTCAGCGGAACCCCCGAGTGCGTCTCCGTTACCCATTAATACTGAAGTAGTCGACAACTCCAACAAAGATGGTGTCATAAGATATTTGTAAATCAAGCTTCATGAGTCAAGCCGCTCTAAAAGTCAGCATTAATTAGAACCTCAATCTGCCTCCTTTCTGCTTGCCCTTTTATTGAAGTCACGTTGTGAAAGCGATGGGCAAGACCAAGTCTTAATAATGAAAATAGGATTAATATGTTACTGGTGCTCCAAATTAACGATGAAAATGATATGTTTTGATTTATTTCTCACTTTAATTCTGGCCGAATGTGTGTAAGCAAAAGACTACTATTTTGCCTTTAGTTATGAAAATGCCATTTAGCTTATGACAGGACCTGACCCTCCCTATCCCACAGGATCCGGCGCTCCGAGAGAATCCGATGACCAAGAAATGCGCTGTGAAAATCTGTTTTTTCTCTTAATAAAACCACATATCAATAAATTTATTCCCATAAGAAACATAAATGAAGAAGACACAAAATTGGGAATCTGAAAACAATATGTCATAAGCATCTTAAAAAAAAGTCCAGAAACACAGAGTAAAATACATGGAAATAGAACACACTTGAAATCCGAAATAAAAAAACTAACTGTTTTTGACATGTCCGAAAACATGAGTCGGTTACAAAATATAAAATTGTCCTCCACATAACATAAACAAATACACACGTGAGAAATCTGGAGAGGTGGCCACACCTGAGCGGAAAACTCACTGTTCGACACGAAGTCCTGAGAACCTGCGGAGGGAGGAAAGCATTTCTAAAAAGGGGTGAGCTAAAATAATGAGGGAGTGGGGGATTGGGATAAATCGTTTGTCAAAACATTTTCAAATGTATTAACAGTCCAGATTTATGAAAAACGAAACTATGCTCAATGAGTCATGTATTCTTCAAAAATACTAAAACATGCAATAAAACATCAAGAAAATTCTGAAAACAATGTTCTATGTATATCCAGCAATTATCTTAACATGCTTATGAGCTCAACTCTAACCATGATAGTTGTTTCTAAATACTGGGAACGAATATTAATTCTCTTCCTTAAACTAAATTGATTATGATACTAACTTCAAATCTGTATTGAAAACTCTCAACACAACTAGTATCCGGGGAAAATATCTCAAAACCAGTGGGCATCCCACTTACAGTTAGAGTTGGGAAAATCCTAATACCTCGCAAAATCTATCACACGCGGTCAAAGCCTGAAGAAAACTAGCTCAATACCTGGCGAACATTGATGTCCAGACATAGCACTAATATATAAATACATATGCACAGAGTTGAAGACCGAATATATCTCATACCTAGGGGAACCTTACATCGCATGGACAGAGCCTAAAGTTTGTAATCTGGGGGGTCGGTACTTCGCCAGGTGGTTTCAAAACCACAACAATACTTAAATATCATCTAATAATGTCCTTGTCATGGAAAATATGACTACTTCTTAAATAACATGCATATAAAAAAATGTCAATTATGGGGTGAGACTGCACATTTTTAAACATGTTTCAAAACTGACATTTTAACCCATTTGTGTTTTTCCTTCAACCAATTTACCAAAGATATCAAAATTCCACTTATTCATGCATTTCAACACTTCCAGTTGAATCTACCAGCCAATTTGAAGTCAATTCCACCAACAACACATTTAACTCAATAGTTTAGCAAAATAATTTAAAACAAAATGTACTAGAATTTGGAATACAACGTGTATCACATGCTATTAAAAAATTCACCAATTTTAACACACACCACACCACACACACCCACACAACACACACACATATATATATATATATATATATATATATATATTCTCAACTACTCTTCACACAACATCACAAAAACTCATTTCTACCAAAAAAACACATTTAATATTCAATTCACACGAATTTCCAAGTGATTGAAAGGCAATAACTTTAAAGTAACATAAGCTTAAAAACTCAATCTTAGTAAAGGATTTTGTGCAATTCCCACTCACTCTTTGATTAGCAAAACTATCTCCAAATTAAGCCAACAGCCCATTTTGAAGAACAAAACACCAAATGCACCTTACACCTATATGTGTATATAAATAAAGAAAAGAGTTATTATTGATAAAGTCTCATTCAAATAAATAATATTCCATTCAACAATTAATAAGCCAGCACCAACATTTCCCGTTACTAAAAATCGCATATATAAATTTTCTCCACTCTTCAACATCAGCGAACCCAACTCTCTCTAGTGCCAACCACACCCCAATCAAGCAGCCATCAACATCAAATTCATGAGACAGCCATATACATATATTTAAATAACATGCAGTATGAAAACTCATTATTTGGAACCAGATCTAATGCATTATCACCCAAAATTTGCTCAGCAAAACATGCAAGACAAGGTTTAGCAAATAACATACTAACTCAAGATTTTGCACCCAAAACATTATAATGAATAAATAAATTGAATGCAAACAGCAATTAAGTTTTAAAAGACTTTTCGGTTAATCCACTCACAAAAAATTTCAGCTCAACCGAAAAGCCCAACTGCCTCAAGCATATCCTCTCCTTCACCTGACAACCCGAATGACAAAATTAATTAGAATTACACAATTAAAGAAAAGTGAGATGACTCACTCTAAAACCACAGGTATGATACAATTTCTACAAAAATTCGTGTGATCCCTTCACTTTCCTTGGAGCACTTACCTCACTTCTCTCCCCCATTTCTCTTTTTCTTTCCCTTTCTTTTCTTCTCTTCCTCTTCTTCTCCTTGTCTCTCCTCTTCCCTTCCTCCTCTCTGCGGTCGGCCGAAGTTCTTTTTCTTCTTTCTCTCTTCGTCTCCCTTCTTTTTCTTCTCTCTCTTTCTTTTCTTTCTCGCGGTTTTTTTCTTCTTTCTTCATCTGGGCGAAAATCAGCCCTTTTTATATTTAAACTTTCCAAAAGTTTTAAAACTCCCCTTGAATTCTATATTTCTACTGTAACCCCGCAACATCAGCTTTTTCTTCAAAAATGTCCAGTTTTTCTCCCTTTGTATGCAAACCCAACCATTTCCATTCTTTCGTTTTCAGCCCCGATGAAACTTTAAAATGTGACAGAAATGCCCTTTCTCAAAACAAAACCAAATATACACCTAATCTATAAGAATTAAAAATGGGATGAAACCTTGGGATAAGCAGAAGGATCAAAAGAAGTCGACCTATCGATAACTAGGCTTTGGTTGAACTGCAAAAACGGAAGAACGCTCATCATCATGACGCAATGCCTGCACAAAAAGAAGTAAAGTGAACAATTGTAAAATGAAATAATGAAAGCCAAAGAAGTAAGCGTATCAATGAGAAGAAACATAAAGATCTGGTGCTTAAGCATTGGAAGAGAATTGAAATGAATTTATAGGCATTCCGTAACTTTTGTCATAAAACAGGGAAACAGCTGGCTAATGACTAGGGAAATGGATTGACAAACAAACTCACAAGACATTAGTAAATCTTACTTTCATGAATCAAGTTGGCTCTAATAAGTCAACATCTATGTTGATTTACTGGTGTGTTTCAAGTCACCAGAGAGTTCAGTTTGAAGGGAAATGTTGAATAGAAGTGCAGGATTTTCAATTTCAGTTTATTCTGTTAAAACTAGTTTAAAGGGGCAAATTGTTAAAAATGAAAGTTTATGGACTATAATGTGATAGTGTTAAATGGTGCGTTTTACTTAGAGCTGGTGGTGGGCCATGCCGTGCCTAAAAATTCAAGGCCCGTCGTGCCATGCTAAGGCCCACATAAATTCATACCGTGTCGTGCCATGCCATGCCGGCCTGCCAAATTTAAAGGTCCACGGCACGACCTACTATATAACCTCTCGTGGGCCTAGCACATGGGCTGGCTTGTGTGCCTTGTGGGCCAACCTATGAATTTTTTTTTTAATATTTAGTTCTTAATATTTATAAATTATGGTAATTTTGATTTATTATTAATGATTATTATAAAATATTTTGATATGTTATATTTAGTGACATTTTATATTTGTATTAATTATAAAATATATAATCATTATAAAATATAATAAAATAATGAGACATTGAAATATTAATTGAATTTCAATACTTTTTATTATTTGTAATTATAAATTACGAATACAAACTTAGAAACTAAAATTAAGAATTAACATTACAATTGCATGTTCTTGTAGCTTATTTGACCTTAAACCTAAAAAGACTCGAGGAGAACAAGAAAAGAAAACAGGATGTCAGTCAAAACCTGTTAAAAGATTGTCGGAAAGGTCCAAGGTTTGCAATGAATCTACACTTAAGTGGAAAAACCATCTAGGTATTTGGCCAACCAACTTGTTTGAGGAAAGGTCTAGGTTCTCCAATTGATCTTGATCTCGCAAGAAGTGTGGGAACTCAATAAGGTTGCAGGACCCCAATCTGAGAACCCCAAATTTCGGAACTTTAGTATGGCCATTGATATGGGTGAGCAATTGTAAATTGTTTGAAGAGAGAGAAAATAAATGTAAATTTTTGAGCTTATAAAAAAGCATGTCCATATCCAGTGTGCCACTCAGATTATTTCCTTCAAGGTAAATCATTTGAAGATTCGCGAGGTCAAAGAGAGCGCTAGGAAATGGGCCTTGGAATTGATTTCCGTCAAGTGCAAGCGAACCGAGTTTCGTTAGGTTCCTAATTTGAGAAGGGATTGTACCATTTAATTCGTTTGAGCTCAAATATAAAAGAGTAAGATTTGTTAGGCTCATAACCCAAGAGGGAAATTCTCCAACTATATTTGTTTTTGAAAGGCTTAAGGAAGTAAGTTTACTACACTTAGCCATCCATGAATATGAACGAGAATCTTGGCTTGAAAAATTGTTTACAGAAAGTTCCAGTTCTTCTAAAGAAGAAAGATTTCCAATAGCAGTTGGCAACTCACCTGAAAATCCATTTTGATTTAAGTAAAGAAGCCTGATCTTGGTAAGATTTCCAAGTGAAGGCGGAATCGATCCAAAAAAACTGCAATTACTTAAATCCAAGATCTGTAAGGAATTAAGATTCCCTATTGAATATGGAATCTCACCGGAAAATCCCGTGCTCCCAAGTCTCAATTCCTCGAGGGGGGTGTTGTTTTCAAATTCTGGCAAAGAGCCATTGAGACCTGCATTGAACCGCATGCTGAGAACGCGTAGGTTGGGTAATTGGAATATCTTTGTAGGGAATTTACCTTGCAATTGGCACCCCTTGAGAGATAAGGTAGTCAACGAAGATAAATTTGCCAAGATATCAGGTATGGGAGAAGAAATATTGACATGACCAAGAGCTAGGACTTTGAGGTAGGTTAACTTCTCAACTAGGCTTCTTAGACCAGGCTTTTGGAGCTTTAAGTTAAAATTAAACGTTAAGTCAAGGGTCTCCAAATTTGAGAGCTCCAGGACCTCCCATGGTATTTGACCAGAAAAACTAGAATTATACAAGCTAAGATATGATAACCTGGAAAGGTTCTTGATTGCGGACGGGATTTTGGAGCCATTGAAGTCATTATCACTAAGGCTAAGCCATTCGAGATGGACCAGGTGGAAGAGACTGCTGCTAGAGTTGATGGAACCGTAGAGGTAGCTACTGGTGAGGTCAAGCTCGATCAAATGACCAGTAATCTCACTGCAGGTGACACCGTCCCATGAGCAGCAGTCTTTATCAGCCTTCCAGGATACAACCTTGGGATAAGCAGAAGGCTCTATAGAAGCGAACTTATTGATAATTAGGCTTTCCTTGAACTGTAACAAGGAAGAACGCTCATCATCATGACAGAGTGGCTTCACAGAAGAAGTAAAATGAGCAAGGAGCGTAAGATGAAATAATGAGAGCCAAAGAAGTAAGCGTATAAATGAGAAGAAACATGAGGATAAACCCATAATGCAAGTAAATAAATTAGATAATGTAGATCTGGTGCTGAAGCATTGTAGGAAAATGGAGATGAATTTATAGGCGGTTTTCAAATATTATCGTAAAAACAGCCCCATTGAAAATAACTTCAGCTTCAATATAGAAAGGGCCAAAGACTTGTTTGAGTCAAGTGGCCTGTGGCCCTCAAGAGTCAGCATGATAGTGATATTGTCTAATAAATTTAGTTAAACGTTAAGCTGCATCCTTTCTCCTTCCCTTCCATTGACAGTTCAACGTAATGACTGAGATGGGCACACCAATGATAATGATAATGACTTTTTGCTCAAGATTGGAGGAACGTATAAGATGGGTCGAAAACTTGTTAAATCAATTGAAAGCTCAAGATGGTGTCATAGACAATAATGTAAAACAAGAGGAAGTGGACAAACGTATCAGAAGGGGCAAACGTATAGAAAGGGAGGTCTTGCTCAAAGTGGAGGAACATTTAAGAAGGGACAAACGTAAAAGAAGGGCCAAAGGCTTTTTTTGCTTCTATGGCTCCAAAAGTCAGCATGACCGTAGACTTGGTTTCTCCGCAATTAACGATGAAAATGAGAGCCATTGCCTTGACAGCCGCTGGAACAGTTGCATGTTTTTTATTTTTCAGTTGAAAATTCTGTACGGAAAGTGTGTAAACAAAAGACTACTATTTTACCTTTAGTTATGTATGAAAATGACATTTAGCTTAATTTCTACTACTGTCTACTCTAGGACGAAAAGCTTTTTTCCTGCACCACACACTGTCTACTTTAGAAAATTGTCATTTTGTTAATCACAGCTTCAGTTCAATTAGAAAACCCAATTGATCAAATCATACCCACTAGAATTTCTAACCTATTTTTGTACAAAACCTTTTTTTGTTGTCTCCCAGTGAGAATTTTCTAGTAAACTTGAGAAATTGAACGAATAATAGAGAGAACTTGATCTAGCTCAAATTGTACCACTTTTTCATTAAGGAGAAAACGAAAACAATGATAACTAAATACTTCCGTAAAACTTGGCAATGATTAGACGTGCTTTTGACAGCCATGCAACACGCTGAACCTGCTCCCTTCTTCAATTTTTAAGTGTTCACTTCTCTGGGTTTTAAGCTTTCTGGGTTTGGGTATACTATGAAGAACAGTTACTTGAAATACTATTATTTAGTAATATGTTTCTACATACGGTACCATTTTAAGCTGTCAATTGATTTCACAGCTCGACGTAATGAATAAGATCGGCAAGCCCAAGACTTAGTAGTCATGGTTCAGTGAACTTCCGGATAACTGATTTTCATAGAAAGTTTCAAGTTACCATGTGAAAATTTATCTCATCTGCCAAAAAAAAACCCCAAAACCAGCAGAAGCGGGCTTCTTACGGTACCAAATTCCACCAAAAAAAAAAAAAAAAACTGCCCAAATTTGGCCTAGGCCAGTGGCAGCTGGACCCAAATTTGGCTCACTGGGTTGACCCCATCTGAACCATCATCACTTTTATGCTCTATCTTGTATAAGATGTTTGCATGAATCTATTTTCATGAGGAATAAATACTCGAGGATGATTTTTTTTTGCTTTGAATCCATTGAATACTGATGTTGAGAGGGACTCTGCAAATTTGACATCTCTCTCAGCTTTATATACTTATTGATAAAATTTTCTTGAACGTGCCATCTCAATTTAAATTTTGTCCAAACTACTCAATACAATTGACTTATACTTTTGGCTCTAATCCCATATCACACTGCTAGTGCTACAAAACAAATGCAAATTTGGCTCAAATTGAGAATCCAAAAAGAACCCTCTTGACTCATCTTCAAGTCTTGAAAGATTTCATCCATATGTTGAAATAGATTGGATTTTAATTTAGAATACCAGAAAAATTGAAACTCCTTCAAAGCTTAGTCTGCTAAGAATTCAATTTGGCAACAGTACAAAAAAACCTCACTGAAATCAAAGGGAAGGGAGGGTGACCCTTTGAGAACAAAGCCTATTCTTAAACTACAGAGTTTGGAGATATTTATTTATAGTGTCATCGGACCCTTCGTTCTTGTTTCTTTGTGAGTTTAGTGGAAAACTTTTTTTTTGCATCTTGTTTCAATACAATCAGTTTTAGATAATCTTTGTATATAATATTGTTTTAATATAATCGATTAATGAGATTATATCCCGTTAATATGAGTGAAATATTGCAATACTGATGGTTGTTGGAGTTGTCGACTACTTCAGCATTAATGGGTAACGGAGACGCACTCGGGGGTCCCGCTGACAGGTCAGCGGGCGGGTGTCCCGCTCCCCGGTGAGCGGGCGAGGGTCGCGGGGGTAGCGCCCCCGAGCTCGTAGGCGGTTTTGGGCTTTTTCATGTATAACCACTGTAGGATTCCTTTTAAGTTATTAATTCCTTTTTGGGTTGGGCTTAGGAATAGGAATTCTTGTAAAACTAGGTTTAATCTCTTAAACCTAGTATATAAACATTCTTTTCTCTTGTTATGAGTGTGAGAGCAATTCATTCATTGTAAACGAGAGAGGTGAGGCATATTTCAATAATATTGACTCAGCTGGACGTAGCTCATATTGGGTGAACCAGGGTAAATCGCGCGTATAATTTCTTTGTTTACTGTTTGTTTTGTTTTACTATTATTATTTTGTTCCTGTTGCTTCTCTATTTCGTTCAATGGTAAACCACCTTAGTATGAGTGTACAATACAATCGACCGCCGAAAAGTATGTCTCATCAGACAAACAACTTGCTTTATCATTTGTTAATTTACTGCAATAGTTCTCAGTTTAATCTTGTATCTAAATCTCTTTATTTTAGAAGAGTTTAGTTTAGGATAGATAAAACTTGAGCAATTCAACGGATAACAGAGAGAACTTGATCTAGCTGAAATTGTACTACTTTTTCATTAAAGAGAAAACGAAAACAGTGATAAATAAATACTTCCGTAAAACTTGGCAATGATTAGACGTGCTTTTAACAGCCAAGCAACACACTGAACCTGCTTTCTTCTTCAATTTTTCAGTCTGCACTTTTCTGGGTTTTAAGCTTAAAACCCCTGTTTTTGTTCTTTTCTTCTTCAACGTTCTTGGTTGTGGTTTTGTTAATGGAACGCAGCGTATAACTTGAACTCGTAAAACGCTGCGTTTCGGTTAAGCTTTTTAAAGCCATCCAGCATTCGTTAACACTCGTAAGACTAATCTGAACTAACGGTAATGGAAACCGTTTAACTGAATTTCGAAGACCAGAATTACGTCTGCTCCTTTGTTCCTCACATACGCCAGCAGCTTATTCTACCTTTTAATTCTTCTTCTTTAATCTTAGCAACATCGCCCCAGAGGCGGAACTAACCCAGAAAGTTTCAGCTTGCAACAACATCGCCCCTCAAATTAGACGCTGAGATAAGATTTAACTTGCTACGAAGTGTACAAAACCTGGCTGCAGAAAGAGGCTTGGTTAAAATATCAACTGTTTGATATTCAGTACCTACATACTTGCTGGTTACTAGCTCTCTGACATACTGCACTTCAATCTCAATGTGCTTGGTACTGGTACAAAACACAGGATTAGATGACAAAAAACCAGCACTGAGATTGTCACACCATAAGATTGGAACAAAATTGCTTGATATCCTTAACTCTTGAAACAAATTTCTTATCCACACTAACTCAGTTGATGCTTGAGCCAAGGCTCGATACTCAGCTTCGGTGGAACTCACTGCAACTACTTTCTGTTTTCTTGAAGCCCAACTAATGAGATTTCCTTCAAGAAATTTGCAGTACCCACTAGTGGATTTTTTATCCATTAGATCACAAGCTCAATCTGCAACAGCAAATCCTTCAAGGAGTAATCTGAAGCTAAGTGTGAACATAATTCCATAATTAATTGATCCCTGAATATATTTCAAAACTCTTTTACAAGCAGTCAAGTGTGCAGTGTGCTTCAGTAGGGCTTTGGCCGATCTATGGTGCCGATGGTGGTGGCTGGGATTTGCCCAACTCATAAGGGTGCGATGGATAAGTTTCCATCTTCTAGGGAGGTTTTTGATATTTCCAGGGAGGTTTCTGATATTAAGGGTGGGAATTGACAATTTGTGAAACCAAGTGTGGGAACTTGCAAGGTCGCCAAACCTTGGGTGGAAAAATGTCGTTTACTCTTAATAATAATAATAAAAACAAGAATTTATAGTCATTTCCTTTCTCCTTCTCCTTTAATTGATGGCTGAACATAATGAATGCAATTGGAAGACCAAGACTTTAGAGCCTATTTGATTTCATCACTTAAACAATTAGAGTAATATTTTGGTTTGTTTTCTATCAGACCGAATTTTCAATGCTAGAGCACTTATATTAAAAAGTAAAAAGAGCCTCACTTTTATCTCAAGTTTGAATGGGATTATACAACACTTATATCTAAATACCAAAAATCCCCCCAGAGAAATCGGATCATATTATTAGGGCCAAATAATTGATTTTCATTGAAAAAGTTATGAACAAATCCTCAAATATGGGGACGAAGTTACCACAACAATCTGCTCAACCATTGATGCCATGGGCCGGATTTCTCTCGTAAATTGAGCCATGTGTTTCACAGAGCAGCAATCACATCCCACTCTTGATGGTAGTGGAAGGATAACAGGCCTAGGCCAGAGGTAGCTGGTCCCAAATTTGGCTCATTGGGTTTACCCCGCCCATATGAACCATCATCACTTTTATGCTCTATCTTGTATAAGATGCTTGCATGAATCTATTTTCATGAGGAATAAATGCTCGAGGATGAATTTTTATGCTTTGAATACATTGAATATTGATGTTGAGAGAGGAACTCTGCAAATTTGAAGGCTCTCTAAGCTTTATGTACTTATTGACAACATTTTTTAGTATAAGATTTTCTTGACCATTGCCATCTCCATTTCAATTTTGTCAAACCGACTCAATACAATTGACTTACAGTTTTGGCCCCAATCCACTGCCAGTGCAATAAAAACAATGCAAATTTGGCTCAAATTGAGAATTCAAAAAGAACCCTCTTGACTCAGCTTCATGTCTTGAAATATTTCATCCATATGTTAAAACGGATTGGATTTTAATTTAGAATACCACATAAATTGAATCTCTTTCAAAGCTTACTCTGCAAAGAATTCAATTTGGCAATTGTTGGAGTCCCACACCTACTAGATATGCTCAAGCCCATTGGTTTACAAGAGGGGGTAATCCTCCTATTCAATAAGGCCTTATTGGGTGAGGAGCCAGACTCACCTCAGATTCTATTATGTTATCAAAGCAAGGCCCAGTTGAGCTGAGTGCTTGACTAGTGGGTGAGGAGTTAGAGCGGAATTAGAGCCAACAACTACCTCCATCAATAGACATAACCCAACATATGTGTTTGACCGTGAGAGGGAGGGGGGGGGGGGGGGTTGGATTCCTACACTGACTAGACACGCTCAAGCATGCTGGTTTATAAGAGGGGGCAATCCTCCCATTCAACAAGGCCAACATGACCCAACATATGGGCTTGACTCTCTCACATTGACTAGACACGCTCAAGCCTGCTGGTTTATAAGAGGGGCAATCCTCCCATTCAACAAGGCCAGTATGACCCAACATATGGGCTTGACTCTCCCACACTGACTAGACACACTCAAGCCTGCTGGTTTATAAGAGGGAATAATCCTTCTATTCAACAAGGCCAACATGACCCAGGATGGCAAGTACTAGAGAGGTGAAGTTCGATCAAATGACCAATAATCTCATTGCAGGTGACACCGTCCCATGAGCAGCAATCTTTATGGGAATTCCAGGATGAAACCTTCGGACAAGCAGAAGGATAAGAAGAAGCTTACTTATTGATAATTAGACTTTCCTTGAACTGCAACAAGGAAGAATGCTTGTCATCGTGACAGAGTGGTTGCACAAAAGAAGTGCAGTGAACAAGTACTGTAAAATAAAGGAATAAGAGCCAAAGAAGTAAGCGTATAAATGAGAAGAAACATAAGGATAACCCCATAATTTAGGTAACTAGATTAGATAATGAAGAGCTTGTACTTAAGTAGGAGAATTGCGATGAATTTATAGGCAGGTCTTAACATACAAATATGTATGTCTTGCTCAAACCTAAACGAACGCATAAGACTGTCAAAGACTTGTGAAATCAAATGATTAACTTAAGATTGAACGAAATAGAGAAGCAACAGGAACAAAATAATAATAATTAAACAAAACAAACAGTAAACCAAGAAAGTAATACGCGCGATTTACCCTGGTTCACCCAATGTGGGCTACGTCCAGCTGAGTCAATATTATTGCAATATGCCTCACCTCTCTCGTTTACAATGAATGAATTGTTCTCGCACACATAACAAGAGAAAAGTATGTTTATATACTAGGTTTAAGAGATTAAACCTAGTTTTACAAGAATTCCTATTCCTAAGCCCAACCCAAAAAGGAATTAATAACTTAAAAGGAATCCTACAGCGGTTATACATGGAAAAGCCCAAAACCGCCTACGGGCTCAGGGGTGCTGCCCCCGCGACCCCCGCCCGCTCACCGGGGAGCGGGGCACCCACCCGCTGACCGGTCAGCGGAACCCCCGAGTGCGTCTCCGTTACCCATTAATACTGAAGTAGTCGACAACTCCAACAAAGATGGTGTCATAAGATATTTGTAAATCAAGCTTTCATGAGTCAAGCCGGCTCTAACAAGTCAGCATTAATTAGAACCTCAATCTGCCTCCTTTCTGCTTGCCCTTTTATTGAAAGTTCAACGTTGTGAAAGCGATGGGCAAGACCAAGTCTTAATAATGAAAATAGGATTAATTATGTTACTGGTGCTCCAAATTAACGATGAAAATGATATGTTTTGATTTATTTCTCACTTTAAAATTCTGTGCCGAATGTGTGTAAGCAAAAGACTACTATTTTGCCTTTAGTTATGAAAATGCCATTTAGCTTATGACAGGACCTGACCCTCCCTATCCCACAGGATCCAGGCGCTCCCGAGAGAATCCGATGACCAAGAAATGCCGTGTGAAAATCTGTTTTTCTCTTAATAAAACCCACATATCAATAATATTTATTCCCATAAGAAACATAAATGAAGAAGACACAAAATTGGGAATCTGAAAACAATATGTCATAAGCATCTTAAAAAAAAGTCCAGAAACACAGAGTAAAATACATGGAAATAGAACACACTTGAAATCCCGAAATAAAAACATAACTGTTTTTGACAATGTCCGAAAACATGAGTCGGTTACATAAAATATAAAACTTGTCCTCACAACATAAACAAAATACACACGTGAGAAATCTGGAGACGTGTGGCACAACCTTGAGCGGAAAACTCACTGTTCGACACGATCGTCCTGAGAACCTGCGGAGGGGAAAAGCATTTCTAAAAAGGGGTGAGCTAAAATAATGAGTGAGTGGGGGATTGGGATAAATCGTTTGTCAAAACATTTTCAAATGTATATAACAGTCTCAGATTTATGAAAAACGAAACTATGCTCAATGAATGTCATGTATTCTTCAAAAATACTAAAACATGCAATTAAACACATCAAGAAAATTCTGAAAACAATGTTCTATGTATATCCAGCAATTATCTTAACAATGCTTATGAGCTCAAACTCTAACCATGTAATAGTTGTTTTCTAAATACTGTGAACTGAATATTAATTCTCTTTCCTTAAACTAAAATTGATTATGATACTAACTTCAAATCTGGTATTGAAAACTCTCACCACAACTAGTATCCGGGGAAAATATCTCAAAACCAGGTGGGCATCCCACTTACAGTTAGAGTTGGGAAAATCTCTTAATACCTCGCAAAATCTATCATCACGCGGTCAAAGCCTGAAGAAAACTAGCTCAATACCTGGCGAACATTGATGTCCAGACATAGCACTAATATATCTAAATACATATGCACAGAGTCTGAAGACCGAATATCTCAATACCTAGTGGAACCTTACATCGCATGGACAGAGCCTAAAGTTTGTAATCTGGGGGGTCGGTACTTCGCCAGGTGGTTTCAAAACCACAACAATACTTAAATATCATCTAATAATGTCCTTGTCATGGAAATATATGACTTACTTCACTTAAATAACATGCAATCTAAAAAAATGTCAATTATGGGGGTGAGACTGCACATTTTTAAACATGTTTCAAAACTGACATTTTAACCCATTTGTGTTTTTCCTTCAACCAATTTACCAAAGATATCAAAATTCCACTTATTCATGCATTTCAACACTTCCAGTTGAATCTACCAGCCAATTTGAAGTCAATTCCACCAACAACACATTTAACTCAATAGTTTAGCAAAATAATTTAAAACAAAATGTACTAGAATTTGGAATACAACGTGTATCACATGCTTATTAAAATTATTCACCCGAATTTTAACACACACACACACACACACACACACACACACACACACATATATATATATATATATATATATATATATATATTCTTCAACTACTCTTCACACAACATCAACCACAACTCATTTCTACCAAATAAAACAACATTTCAATAATTCAATTCACACGTAATTTCCAAGTGATTGAAAGGCAATAACTTTAAAGTAACATGCAAGCTTAAAAACTCAATCTTTAGTAAAGGATTTTGTGCAATTCCCACTCACTCTTTGATTAGCAAAACTATCTCCAAATTAAGCCAACAGCCCATTTTTGAAGAACAAAACACCAAATGCACCTTATACACCTATATGTGTATATAAATAAAGAAAAGAGTTAATTATTTGATAAAGTCTCATTCTAAATAAATATATATTCCATTCAACAATTTAATAAGCCAGCACCAACATTTCCCGTTACTAAAAATCTGCATAATATAAATTTTCTCCACTCTTCAACATCAGCCGAACCCAACTCCTCTCTAGTGCCAACCACACCCCAAATCAAGCAGCCATCAACATCAAATTTCATGAGACAGCCATATACATATATTTAAATAACATGCAGTATGAAAACTCATTACTTTGGAACCAGATCTAATGCATTATCACCCAAAAATTTGCTCAGCCAAAACATGCAAGACAAGGTTTAGCAAATAACATACTTAACTCAAGATTTTGCACCCAAAACATTATAATAGAAATAAATAACTTGATATGCAAACAGCAATTAAGTTTTTAAAAGACTTTTCGGTTAATCCACTCACAAAAAATTTCAGCTCAACCCGAAATGCCCAACTGCCTCAAGCATCATCCCTCTCTTCACCTGACAACCCGAATTGACAAAATTAAATTAGAATTACACAAATTAAAGAAATAGTGAGATGACTCACTCTAAAACCTACAGGTATGATACAATTTCTACAAAAATTCGTGTGATCTCCCTTCATCTTTCCTTGGCCGACACTTACCTCACTTTCTCTCCCTCATTTCTCTTTTTCTTTCCCTTTTCTTTCTTCTTTCTCTTCCTTTCTTCTTCTCCTTTGTCTCTCCTCTTCCCTTCCTCCTCCTCTCGGTCGGCCGAACGTTCTTTCTTCCTTCTTTCTCTTCTCGTCTCCCTTCTTTTTCTTCCTCTCTCTTTCTTTTCTTTCTCGCGGTTTTTTTCTTCTTTCTTCATCTGGGCGAAAATCAGCCCTTTTTATAATTTAAACTTTCCAAAAGTTTTAAAACTCCCCCTTGAATTCTATTATTTCTACTGTAACCCCGCAACATCAGCTTTTTCTTCAAAAATGTCCAGTTTTCTCCCCTTTGTTATGCAAACCCAACCATTTCCATTCTTTCGTTTTCAGCCCCGATGAAACTTTAAAATGTGACAGAAATGCCCTTTCTCAAAAACAAAACCACAAAATATACACCTAATCTATAAGAATTAAAAATGGGGTTTTACAAATAATGTGTTACATGTTAAAATTACTTAGTGAGCTATTGTTATGGAGGTTGAACAATAATGTCTACATATAAACCGGAGTATCAAATTTCCTCCACCTTCTGGTGACACTTTCTTTTGACAAGAAAAAGCTCAATGACGGGGTACTTACACTGCAACAAATACAATTTTGCCTTTAGTTCTTGGAATGAGATGCTATGCTTTAGCTTTCAAGGTTTAAATTTCCAAACCTGGTTTTGGGGCAAGAATTTAACAAATTAAAGCGAGCAATCATAGAATCTATGGCAACAAAATGTAAAGACACTGCTAGAAGAAAAAACGACTACGTGAAAAAGTAGATGATCCTTAAGGCTACATTTATTAACTCTGTGAACAAAAAATAAATAAAGCTACTTACATCGTGCTTCTGTGAGCTCTCTGTCTCCCGAATGTATTCATGAGCTTCCTCTCGAAAATCTTCATGAACAATACCTTTATCCTTGGAGAAAAAGCATGCTCAAGAGCCACTCCAGCAATTATCCCACTAGCAAACCCTGTCAGAACTATTTTCCAGCCAAATTCAAGTGGAAACTTCGAGCCTGCAGGATCTTCTTCTTTCTTTGAAGGCGGAAAATCTCCACATTTTTTTGCTATCTGCTTTCCACACAATCCTGGGTTCCCATCAAACGAAATACTCTCAAATGTATCAAATTGTTTTCCTTGTGGTATGCGTCCTGTGAGATGATTATTTGAGACATTGAAGTATGAAAGGAATGTGAGATCTTCCAGTTGCTGAGGAATCTGTCCTGAGAGCTTGTTATTGGAAAGGTCCAACGATTCCAATATTGTTAGGTTTGCCATGGATGGTGGGATGGAGCCTTTGAGATTATTGTTCGAAAGAACGAGAAAATGAAGCCCTCTTAAATTTGCAATGGATGCTGGAATGTGTCCTTCAAATTTGTTGCTCGAGAAAATAATAGCTGTGAGGAGATATGAGATCCTTCCGTACTCCAACTCTATGCCTTTGGTACTCAATTGCATTGAGTAATCGTAAATTGATGGTAAAATATCATACGTCTCATCAATACCTGTATAGAGACTTCCAGACGTCTTCAGAGCTTGCATATATGTTAGTGAACTTCCATTGACAACTTTCATGGCATCCCAAGATTCAAAGTATTTTGATGGAAGACTACCTGTAAATCTATTATGGGAGAGATCAATGATTTGCAGTTCGGGAAAAGCATAGGCTGTTTCAGGTTCTTTTATGGCACCCCTTAATCTATTAGATTGTAAGATAAGGACCTTTAAATTTGGAAGAGTTTCCAACCAGGATGGAAAAGTATCATTGATTTGATTGTTTCCAAGATCAAGAAATTCTAGATTTCTACAATTGGCCAATGATCTCGGAATTTTGCCGTGTAATTGATTTTGGCTTAAATCAATCATCCTCAAGTTTTCTCCATTCAAAAAGTTTTCAGGAATACCTCCACTAAAGTTGTTATTTTTCAGACTTAGTAGTTCTAGGAAATGACTAAAATTTCCCAAACACTGTGGAAGCTTGCCACTTAAGTTGTTGTGAGACAGATCGAGAAGTTCCAACTGATTCAAATTGCATAAAGTTGGTGGAATTTCTCATGTCAGATTATTGTACGAAACTAAATAAGACGCAGTGGACAGTGGGGGAACTGGGAGTGGTCCTTGCAACTTATTAGAACTTAAGTCTAAAACTAATAGTCGAGTCCATGAAAAACTAAGAGGATGTTGGTCAAAGCCGGTTAAAAGATTGTTGGAAAGGTTCAAGTCTAGCAACAAATCCACACTCAAATTCAAAAACCATCCAGGTATTTGGCCAGCTATCTTGTTTGAGGAAAGGTCTAGAATCTCCAATTGATCTTGGTTCTGCAGGAAATTTGGGAACTCAATAAGGTTGCATGACCGCAATCCGAGAAATGAAAGTTTTGGAAATTTTGTATGAACTTTGGTGTCGGTGAGCAACAATAAGTTGTTTGAGGAAAGAATTAAATAATGTAAACTTTTGAGTTTATAAAAAAGCATGTTCATATCTACTGTGCTATTCAGATTAGTTGAAATGAGGTCAAGCACACGAAGATTCTCAAGGTCATAGAGAGCGATAGGAAATGCGCCTTGCAACATATTGGACCCAAGTGCAAGAAGCTGCAGCTGCGTTAGGTTTCCAACTTGAGAAGGGATATTGCCAATCAAACGATTAGATGACAATGATAGCTCCACTAATTGGCTTAGGTTCATAAGCCAATATGGAATAGGACCCTTTAATTCATTCTGGCTCATATATAAATGAGTAAGATGTGTTAGGTTCATGAGCCAAGAGGGAATTTCACCAAACAAGTTGATTTGTGAAAGTCCTAAATAAGTAAGCTTACTATACTTAGTCATCCACGACAACGCACGAGAATCTTGGCTTGAAAAGTTGTAAGAAAGGTCCAGTTCTTCTAAAGAAGATGGATTTCCAAACAAAGTTGACAACTTGCCCGAAAATTGATTTCCAGATAAGTAAAGATTAGTGATCTTGGTAAGATTACCAAGTGAAGACGGAATTGATCCTGAAAAACTGCAGTCGTGAATATCCAAGAGAATTAAGGAATTAAGATTTCCAATTGAATATGGAACCTCACCAGAGAAACTCGTGCCTGCAAGTTTCAAATATTGAAGAGGATTACTCTTTTCAAATTCTGGCAAGTACCCAGAGAGGCCTTGATTGTCCTGCACACTGAGAAAGTGAAGGTGGGGTAATTGGAATATCTTTGCAGGAAACTCTCCTTGCAATTCACAATGCGTGAGGATAACTCAGTCAACGAAGATAAATTTGCCAAGATATCAGGTACTGAAGAAGAAATGTTGACCTGGGAAAGATTTAGCACTTTGAGGTGAGTTAACTTGTCAACTAGGCTCTTTAGACCTGGCTCTTGGAGCTCCAAGTTACGATTCAATGATGTGTCAAGGGTCTCCAAATTTGAGAGCTTTAAGAACTCCGATGGTATTTGACCAGAAAAGGCAGAATAAGATAGGTTCAAAAATGTTAACCTGGAAAGGTTCATGATTCGGGAAGGGATTTTGGAGCCATTGAAGTGATTATCAGCCAGGCTAAGCCATTCCAGATGGGCAAGTTGGAAGAGAGTACTGGTAGAGTGGATATAACCATAAAGGCAGCTACTAGTGAGGTTAAGCCTGATCAAATGACCAGTAACCTCATTGCAGGTGACGCCGTCCCATGAGCAGCAGTCTTCATCTGCCTTCCATAATGCAACTTTCGAATAAGCTAAAGGATCAAAAGAAGCAAACTTATTAATGACTAGACTTTCCTTGAACCGCAACAAGGAAGAACGCTCATCATCATGACAGAGTGTCTGCACAAAAGAGGTAAAGTGAGCCAGGACAATAAGATTAAATAAAGAGAACAAAAGAAGCAAGTGCATAAATGAGAAGAAATTTGAGGATGGCGTCATGATGTATGTAAGTGCTTAAGCTAATGAAGATATGGTGCTTAAGCTACAAGAATTGAGATGAATTTATAGGCAGTTCATAATTGTTGTAAATGACTTCATAAAAGCAAAGCAGCCCCACTACGTGAACATCATCTATATTTGCTATTGCAGCTCCAGTCAAAAGTATTATACGATAATGATAATGACTTTTTGCTCAAGATAGGAGGAACGCATAAGATGGGCCGAAAACTTGTGAAATCAATTGAAAGCTCAAGATGGTATCATAGACAATAATGTAAAACAAGAGCAGTGAACTGGACAAACGTATCAGAAGGGGCAAACGTATAGAAAGGGAGGTCTTGCTCAGAAGTGGAGGAACATTTAAGAAAGGACAAACGTAAAAGAAGGGCCAAAGGCTTTTATGGCTTCTATGGCTCCAAGTAGTATTGATAATGATAATGACTTCTATGGCTCCAAAATCTTCGTAGTTCGGTCTACTATTAAGGACACTCACTTGAAATACAGTTCTTTTGTAATACATTTCTACATGAGACACCAATTTAAGCTGTCAATTGATTTCACAAATCTTTGACCCATCTTATACGTTCATCCGCAAACACAAACTTACGTTAAGATCGATGTAATTAATAAGATCGGCAAGCCACTTTCATGGACAGCTCAAAATGTCCGGTTGCTTCTAGATAACTGATAAGATCGGCAAGCCCAAGACTTAGTAGTTACGGTACAGTGAACTTCTAGATAACTGATTTTCATAAAAGTTTCATGAACCAAAGCCTGAAATAAGTGGGATCAATTTACCATGAGAAAAATTATCTCATGTGTCACAATAATATGCACAACCATCCAATCAGTGGGTGAAGTTAAAGGTGGAAAAGTAACCCGCCCAGCTCGGCCCGCGACAGGTTACGAAGGTTGGCGGGCCGGGCCTAACCCGCCTGCCAACAAAGGCAGGCCGGGTTAGGCCCACCATTATGGAGAAAATGGCTGGCCCAGCCCAAACAGCCAACCCTAACCTGTCGGGTTAGGCGGCGGTCCAGGCCGGGTTAGCCAGATTTTCTTATTTTTTTTGTTTTTTTATTTTTTTTGTTTTTTTAATTTAACTTTTCAAATAAATAATTATAAATATAATTGTTTTTAGTTAACTTTTCAAATATCAATAATTCAATTCAATTCAATTTTTTGTTTTTGTTAACATTTCAAATATTAATTCAATTTTAATACAATAAAATTGTAATATAAGAAAAATTAGACTTATTCATTTATCAAAAAATAAAATAAGAAATTACAATAATTATTGTCTCGTTAAAAACCTCACCAAGAAAAACCCAATGGGAGAAAAACTTGGTAAAGAGAAAAGAGTTCAATAATTGACAATTAATTTACAAATTACATTTTACAAAACAACTAATTTGGGGGTGGTTCACTAAGACCTCCCTCATCTGTATCATCTATATTACAAAATTGAAATGATTCTACTAAAGTATTGTCGATAACCTCGTATTGATCTTGATGGCGCGATCGTTCCCAATCTCGAAGACATGTGAGGACTTCAATCATTTTTGGAGCAAGTTTAGTCCTCCTTTCATTTAAAATCTTTTCACTGCACTAAATGTTTGTTCGGATGAGACGGTTGAGACAGGAACAGGAAAACATCGAAGCAAGTCTTGATAATACCAAAAATACATTTTCTGGCTCTCCAATACTCTAAGATATCAAAGTGACCTGTTGAAACATTTCGGGGGTTGCCAAATATTGTTGAAGTTCATTCTCTCTGCGACTCCATGGAGGACAGTATATTATTGTTGTTGGTGGTGGTGGTGGTGCTTCTGAAGAGGAGGTTGTGCTTCGGATTCGGGTTCTCTTCGACCTATTCAGTGCATTCCAGAGTATAAGTCTTCATTTGTTGTTTCTTCTGGATACAGCTTCTCTGGATATTTGCCTCTTTGCGACTGCGGTTCCCATACCTGTTTTCATATTAGAAATACACTTCGAAAAGACTATTTTTTACCTCTCCTATTTGTTAACATATGATTCGGTTTGTAATTTCACTTAAATTGTCAAAACTATTTTCTAAACTGCTAATTTAATTCTAGGATCAAATATAGCACCTAAACAATAAAGAAAAGAATGGCTTCCCAATATTTCAAAAAAAAATTTTGCATTGCCTTTATTGGTGCATTTAAAATTTCATTGTCTTTGTTTTTTGTAAATAACTCGGAAATTTTTATAATTGTATGTATTCCAATGGACTAGTAGGATAATACACACCAGAAAGTTGTAAAGTGGATTGGTAAAAACGTTTGAGAAAGAATGAAATACTTTAACTATCTTCCAATTATTTTCATCAAATAATGAGGACCTCTATTATTTGCACAAAATAACTAATTATATTAGCATAGGTAAACATGAATCAAGTATTAAATAAGTATTATTCCATCTAACAGACATATCTAAGCAAAAGTTCTAGGAGACATATTTGATTTTATACAAGTTTCTTGAATTCAGCATTTCTTTTATTACTACCAGTAATCCAAGCTAAAATTCCCTATTCTATCAATATTTTGTTTATTATTTTCATACCACTTTCACAATTAAATTAATACATGACATGCACAACGTTGGTGAAAAAACTTCAAATTGTTTATAAAGGATAATTAATTTGAAAAAAAATCTATACTTTACTATTAGAACTTGCATTACTAAAGTTAAACTTATTACTTATCAATAATCATAATCTTCTAAAACTTCAACATTTTATATAGATTTCTAAACCACTATGATTCACATCCATTAATCTAAATCCTAATAAAGATTTATTTAATTTAAATTCATTATCAAAATAATGACTAACACACAATATAATCTTGTTTAGCTCTACCACTCCAAATATCGGCAGTTGAGCCACACTAATATGACAAGTATGAAATTTATTTTTAATTCTAATTTCATTTTTCTAAACAATTTTATTAAATCATTTCGATTGCAGTTTAGAATAACTTTAAATCCTAGAAAAAATGAATTTTGAACAAATCTTTCAAAATATTTATCTTCTGTCATATTAATAGGTTGATCAGCTACAGCAATATATAAAGCTAACTGTTCCCTATATACATTAGAATATAACGCCAAGTAGTACCCCTATTAGTTATTTGAGTTTGATGCTTCTCTATTTCCATGTTATTATAGTTTATTAGCATGTGGTTTAAAGTACTAGTACCATTACCTGAATCAGCTTTATAAACATTTCCACAATATTTGTATCTTGCTTTCTTGACTTGAACGCAATTTTCTATCTCGTAAAACTTGTCAAAATGCGCCAAAACGTCAATGTGTGCCTATCTTCAGTTTCGATGGCATTTGATGAACCCGTCTCAACTTGAGATGGAGTTGGACGAGGACGATGATTATAGGACGACTTCTAGAACCACCGGAGCTGTTGGAATCGACGGCATATTTTGAGGTGTTCGGATTCTGAACGGGGATTGGGACAGCGGGACTATTTGAATCTCCTGCATTCATAGTAAAACTCAGTGGGACTAGGACTAGGATAGTAGTTTTCTTCATCATTGAAATTGATGGGAGAATATATATCCATTATAGTTGAAAAAAAATTGATGTAGAAAATAAAAATTAAAGAAAGAGAATTGGAATATGGAAATTGGAAATTTGGAAAATTGGAAATATGAATTGAAAATTGCAAAAACTAATAAAAATTAAAATAAGAGCAAATTGATAACAAAAAGATTAAGAGAATAAATGAATAATTGAGAGAATAGAGATTAGAGAATATGAGAGAATGAGAGAATTTGAGTTGTGAGAAAAATATAAGAGTTTAGGGCCAATTTATAGAAAAAAAATGGGGAAAGAAAATGACGAAAAAGACCCTTCCAACGGCTATAAAACGGCTACATTTCAAGGGTAAAAGGGTAATTTAAAAAAATAAATTAATTTTACTTTTTTTTTAATTTATTTTTTGGCCAACCCGCGGGTCAACCCTCATGCAACCCGCCGGGTTGGCGGGCCTCCTGCAGAGAGGACAAAATAGCAACCCGCTGGCCGCTGGGTTGCCATTTTGCAACCTGGCCCGCCCTGGGGTTGCTGGCGGGTTGGGTTCAACCCGAAGGCAGACCGGTTTAAACCCTCTTTATTACAGGCCAGGTTAGGGTTGACCCGCCTAACCCGGCCCATTTGTTCCACCTCTAGGTGAAGTCAAGAATTCAAGAAAGTGGCGAATTTCAAAAAGTGAGATAATTTATAATTTTCAACATCATGATAAATATTATAACTTTAATAATTATTGATAAGTTTTTTATTCAATACAATTGATCATCGGCACGTTTCAATGTTTGAAAATGATCATTGTCAATACTATTAATCACATCAAATAAAAGAAATGATATTAATATAGAAATTCGTATGAAAAAAGTTCTAATTTCTTAACAGTAAATTAAATTAAAAACCATTTAGAAAGAAATTATCTGGTAATAAGAGATTTGTCCTATATCAAAATCATATTTATCAAGTTTAAAGAAATATATTGCCTTTATAATGGTTTTACTTGTAATGAGTTCAATTAAATTTGTATAACATAGACTATACTTATTTATAATCTACCTAATTTCTTTATTTTTCACAAAAATAAAAATTAATTAATACTATAGATATATTATAACAATCACTATTTTCTCAATGGTTGGCCATTTGGAATAGAATGAAAAGCAAGATTAAAAAAAAGCCAAAAAGTGTTGCTTAGAAATATATTATGTTACATTTAAAAATTATTTGTAGTAATAGTATTGCATAAAATAAAGTTTTATATTCATTTCTTTACAAGTAAAGTATTACTCAATAATTTGCAACTTCAGCTTCAGTATAGAGAAGGGCAAAGACTTGTACGAGTGAAGTGGCCTGTGGCCCTCAACAGTCAGCATGATAGTGATATTGTCTTAAATATTTGGTTAAGGTCAAGCTGCGTCCTTTCTCCTTCCCTTCCATTGACA